CCCGATCGTCTGGGATGGACGGGGACAATCTGGAGAATCGGAAGCGTTTCTATTTTCCCGACGTGTCCCAGATGTATGCGATGGTAGGCGATCATTCCCGATACTGAATGAAAACTCAAATTTGTACCGACGGGGACGTCGGCGATGGATTTCGTTCCTTACCAATCCCCTAAATCGCTGGGCTCCAGTCGCCCTATCACAAATAAACATGGCGTCTCTCGAGAATCTGGGACAGACTTCTGGCGATTATCCGATATATCGGCAAAATCTGGGAAGGTCGGCAAAAAGTAAAATCCCCGATCGTCTGGGATTTTCCCGACATATGAAAACCAGGGCCGGGTTGTTCAAAGCCGGGTTAAGATAACCCAGGGTTAGTGCGAAATTTGAATTCAGATATAACTTAAAAAGCAACTTCAGTCTGATTCTTTTTGCCTACTCTTTGGCGATTAAATGCTCTAAAAAAATTGAGAAAATTATCCGAGAAAATACTTTTGAACAAAAGGAAAAGAAACCTGGATTAAAATTTAACCACGGATTAGCGCTAATCGGCCTTCGAACAACTGGGTCCAGGCTTTTTTAAAGGAGCTGTGTGACGAAATTCAGCCAAATTAGGAAATTACAAAATGCCCGTTAAATTAAGAGAAACATAAAAATAACCGCTTAAAATTTTAAAGGACGGTTAAAATACCATAACAGAAACAACAGATGCCACGGATGGGCAAAACTGAAGAAGATTGAAACCGGGATTGAAATTAGGGTTTTTGAAAACTGTTCAGCCTAACAGTCAGCGAACAGTTTTTCAACGTTGATCCCTGCTGCTTGCAACTTCAAAAATAATTCTCAGGAGACATATTTGTTTGTCTCGGATCTCTGATTTTGTCATTTACCTGTAATTTCTTTGCTTACTTTAATTTCCATAGTGATTGAGGGTGAGTGATTGGCAAATTAAAGAAAATGAACTGGACTGCCGTGACACAGCCCCTTTAACCCTTCTTCTAATTATATCCATAAAGAGTGGTTGTAAACACTTTGTCATTTTAAAACCACTCCAATATGTTCTACTCTTCATTGTCTCTTTTTGTTTTGTTTTTAGTTGACACTGGACGTGATGTTTTCTTTTCAGGAAGGCGAAAGAAACAAACATTTTGACACATCATCATTCTCTCCGGCGACATTATCCTTAACTCGGTTAGGACCTTTTCGCCTTAAGGAATGAATAAAGGGTAATGAACTATATTACATCTTCTGTTATTATTTTCATTGTTATTTCACGTAGGTAGCCGTGCCATACGGCGTCACATGAGATGTAACTTTCTTTGATTGTTTTACTATAAAGTATGTATTTCTGTAAATTGCGTGAGTTGTCCTCATATAAAACCCGATGAAGAATGGTACTGGCCAGTCGAAAATTTGCAACTACTGTCTATCCACCTCGCAGTTGTCCGCGGTTTTTGGCAAAAATTTACCATTTTTATCAATTCTGAACTTCGGCGATTCAGTTATTCCAGTGGTTTTCTTTTTAATTTTTTGCGTATCAGTTCTGCAAGGATCCATACGTTAAACGGCCGATTCGATTTGCTTGTCTTTTGTTAGTACTGAAGACCTGGCCGAGTGTTTATTTGACTTGAGATCAGGCCTAAAAATAAAAGTTCCTTAACGCAATGGAAAGTCTTTTTTTAACTTTCCAAACTACAACCTTTTTGTTTGGTGTAATTGTCCAATGGCACTTAAGCTAGTTTTCACTTTCGATCAGGGTTTTGCCGATGTCATTTTCTTTAGCTCTAGTGAGATCTATTTTTAAAAACTTGGGTCCTTACTCAGCAAGCCGACTTCAGGTCAAGAGAAATTATATCTTGGTTAAAGAGACTTATACAAGATAACCTGTCATTCAAAAATCACATGCCCCTAACATGGTTTGTTTCATAAGCGTGTACGATCACGTTCTTTCGCAGAAACTTTAAGTTCCGCAAGTTCAAGGTCTATTCCGTAAAATTGAGTATCAGGGAGCCAATCAGGACTCCTCCTCATTATCAACAACCAATCAAAAAAAGACATTTCCGTGATACGTCATACGGAGTTTCCCTTGGGAGGGCACGCTCTACGTCACGTTCGTCGGCTATGAAGTAAGACTTCCTTATTTAAAACAACAAAACATATAAAAGCGTAACACACTGTCCTCAAGGAAAACTAAACCAGTTATTACAAGAGAAACGTCAGGAGGAACTAATAGAGGCGTTAAGCCTTCAACTGATACAAAACGACGCCCTCTGAAGCAAAGAGTAGTTTTTTAGGTAAGTCTCAGCCCTTTGTCAGTCTCGTCACGCAGTGTGCTTCTATTTTACTATTTTCCTATTTCTTTATATCTGCGATGTTGCTGTGATTACCTTAAAACCAACGCTTTTGTGCACTATCTTTTCGTTTACTGCTTAAATTTTACAAACATGTTGAACCTTTTTGTAGTATCCACAAGTTTCGATGAAAGATAACTTAAAACGATTTAACTTCGAACGGTTGTTTGCACTGTTCGTGTTCATTATTTCAAGACTTCGATTTTTAAGTTCGCCATGCGGAATCCACCTCAGTATATTTTCTGTAAATGACGTTATCTCGATTTTTGACGTTATATTTCTCAGAACTTGTTTGTTTGTTTGTTTGTTTTTTCTGGAATTATGGTTCAGTAAGCGAAAGCACGACTTGAATCTCACAAGCTATATTTATTATTCATCTCGCAGGTTTGATGGGTTTCAAGCTATTCAAGAAAACAGACAGCAAATCTGAGACCCGAAGAAGATCATTTAGTTTTTTGAGGCGAAGAAGTTGTTCTCGCGAAGAAAGAAGAAGTGAGAACTTTTTAAGACCAAGGAGGACAGGAGAAGGTCAAAGCCCGGAGGTGAGAACATCGCAAGAAGTAGCTTCCGCTTTGAGGAAGATCGGAGATGAACTCAACAATAGCACTTTGAGTCTACATGCAGCAGCCACCACATAACGAACGGCAAGGAAATTCATCGGGGATATAGGTGTGAAAGAGAAAGAAAATGAGGAGACAATCTTGAGGCCATGCAATAAAGAGCCAAGGTGAAGTCGTACTACATCTAACTATGACATGCTAATTTGAACTGTACGGACTTCAAGGTCACGAACATCCACCAGACGTGTCAAATGGCACTTTGCGAAATTTTGCTTCTGCTGATAGAAGAGGGAGATACTGACAGTCTCAATATTTGTTGAATTACTGACGACTAGTGTACCATTCGAGTTTGATGTAATTAAAAAGATGAAGTAGTTAATCGCTTTTGCGTCGTCTTGTGCGTCACGTACCCTGTAAACCTCCCAGAGACCGGAAGTTGGGGAAAACTTCCGGTAACGTTCGATAATGTACCAGTAAAAATCCAAGTTTGTTATGAAGATTGCGACGTTACTCTAAAATACGTGCTTCAATGTAATATAAAGGAAATGCTCCAAACCATCCTTGCGTCATCGACTAACAGCAACAGTTGTAATTCAACTTTCAATTCTTTCGAGACTACTTTCATTGCCCGATTCAACTTACTGATTCGTAACTCCATCTCATGAATTTTGATCTTTTTTTCTTCCAAGTGACTACCTTCAAACTGGTGTCACGATCGAAGATTTTGTGCTTTTTTAGCCAAGCAAACAGCTAATCCTTTATTCAGCGTGGTTAACTAATTTAGATGTTACAGCTAGTTTTCATTTCCGTTGACCTGTACGCTTGTGAAGTCATAAGTTTTAACTGTCATTGACAACTTTGACATTAAACTTGTGAAGGGGGAAATGATCTTTCGAACCGGACCATACCAGAAAGAGCACGATTTAGTTAGGCAGGTCAGAGAAAAACGAAGACAACAACATCAGCAGCAAAAACATGTAAAATTGACCCCAAAATTCTAATGAAAATCTTGTTCCTCTGACCCTCCACTTCCTTCATTTTAATGATCTTTAATATCACAATCATTTAGTTTTCGCAAAAGCTTTTTCCACCGATATGAAGCCTTGCAAATGCCCAGCAAAAGAGAGGAAAAAAACAACCCTATTGGTCTAACAATATATTATTTAAATTTGTCAATGCCGCTGAGGCTTAAAGAACAATAGCCTTAATTTGCACAAGAAAACAACAAACTCAAGGATTCTGGTAGTTGTAGTAAAATGAAGTTCCCTCGAAAACCATACCAGATGTCAGACCAAAATGCGCAAAGTGTATCCCGTTTTCAGACCAACACGGCGTACAAACCTGTATAGCTTATATAAGGGAGTACCCCTGGGGGTCTCCATCTAATAATGGTGTCCATTAATTAAGAGCGTTAAGTTGACTTAAGTGCTCACTTAATCTTAACAACCCTCATTGTGGTCAGTCATGAGACCTAAGCTAACTCCCAAATGGGGGTTGAATTTGGGTTTTGGCACCCAGAAAAGATGTCCCTATTCCCTGAATAGAGGTGTCCCTTCAACAAAGGCAACAGGTACGAAGATTGTGTGAACATTTTTCCGGAACCAAATTTTGTGTCCCCTGGATGGTGGTGTCCCTTGAACAGAGGTGTCCCAAAGAAAAGGTTCCTGTGTTGATGTGGGCCCTGTAGGTTCTCAAACCTTTATCATATATTTACCCCTCTAAGACATAAAAACCGTCTAATGAAACCCTATTGAAGGATATTGGACAAAAATTCAAGAGTTTCTTCATGTAGGCATGTAAAATGGCAAACACATTGAACAATAAATTGTACTTCATATTTCGTTTATTTTTTCAAAACTTTACTTCTTTAATACAAAATTTTCGTTTTTGCTATTTACAACACCATCATTTAAACTGAAATAGGATATATTTCAGTGAAACATGGGTAACTGACAATGATGCCATCAATGGCTGCTTGTCGTTATTGGTTCATTTAACCTTGAGCTTTCGCAAAACAAAACACAATATCCAAAGTAAATAAGAAAACTAAACTCGACGACTGAAATCCTATGTACACGCTAGTTCCAAAATTCTACCGCTTGTGAGCTTTTATTTTACTTTCTTGACTTGTTCTGTCAATCTCGGAGACGTCCACTGTAACTTCATGTGATACAGAACCTGGTAATGTGATGGGAGTAGCTGCCTTGAGATAGTCTGAATTGTTCACATTAAATGAAGTTGTCTCTGAAACATCTTCTGGTTCAGCTGTGTACTCTTCGTTTACTTGAAGAAGTGTGCGTGATCGGACTGCAAATAAACCAAAAAATAATGAATGACAAAATGTGCAATTTTTTGACCTGATCAGAAGTAGGTCAAATTCTTGACCAGTACGGTTCATTTTAGCTTGTGTTAATACCCAAACCATGCAAGTCTTTGCACAGTTTAAGCATTAAAAGCCTAGAGCCTAGTTAGGCATCTTTAAACCTGTCCTACTGTGAGATTAGCATAACACTGGCTCATTCTCAAGTTCATGAAATACTGGTTGTCTTAATGCAGTGGACATATCATTTTACAAAGTTTCCAAAAAAGAAAAGTTAAAATACAATGTAATGTGATAATATTAAATTTTGTCAAGGTGGTGATTGAGGCAGGGCTCCACTTGATTTACAGTTTCCTATGCTGGCTAGACACTTCTTTGAAACACACAGCCAGTATTAGTCCCCATGAAATTAGTTCATAAAAGGATATAGCTTTCCCATCACCCCTATTTAATTTGTGAAAGGTTCAATGCCCTTGAGTTCATCTCTTGGTTCTCACCCTCTCTCACATTGAAGCTCGTACTGGAATAATGACTCACCAATAGCTGGAGAATATTTTGCCACAGTATCTTTCTGCTCTCCCAAGTTCATGTTATTAATAGGAAAAAGGACCAGACCAAAAGCCAGAAACAGCACCATCAGACATGTGCCAGCTTGGGCTTTTGTCGGGTGGGTAGATGCTACCAGTGCTTGGAGCTCTTTCAGTTGGTCAAGAAGAGACCTAAAAGAACATTAATTTTGGAAGCCTCGTCAATCTACTGGCATTTACAAGTACCAAATTATTGATAAAAAATAATAATCATGACCATTTTTAACACAAAACAGTTTTTCAAGCATCATTGAGACTATTGTTTTCCTTTAGGCATTACAATAGCCACGCACCCTTTTGTTTTTTTATTCCATGCAATTTATTGATTAGAAGTGAACCTGGAGAATACTAAATTGACCTTATCCCAGATCGAGTCTCCTCTGTTCATTAATTTGTTTTTCATTACCTGGCCACAAGCTTCAGCCTATGTACCCATCAAAGGAATCTGAGATGGACACTGATATGTAACTCTTTTGCACAATTAACAAATCAAAAAATGTGGCAACTCACTTGTTTTGCTTTTCCAAATTAGCCATCTTCTTTGTTAGATTATGGTTGAGTTCTGTGCAGGCTTTTACCCTAAAAAAAGAATTTAGAAAAGAATTTTGGTTATGATGTGGTTCAGTATTATGTTCAATATTGTTTTGAACACATTATGGTACATTACTATACCTACAGGTAAGAACAAAGGAAACTAAAATTTAGCTGCAGAGATTAAAATAACGTACAAGTGTCCTTATAATTTTAAACTAATCAGGCAATCATATTTTGTTTAGGTCAGGACAACTTTAGACCTGGCATAGTTCAAATGCATTCATATCATAAGTACATTTAAATAAATTCAACAAACCTCTCCTCCAATCCTCCAACATAATCTTTCTTCTTCCGCCTACTTTCTTGTGCAGATTGCTACCAACAAGAAATCAGTTCAATGTCAGACAAGAGCTAGTAATGGCTAAAACTTAACAAACTTAACAATTCAAAAATATGTTACATTGAAGAAACCTTCATGTATTAAAAAAATGACATTGAATTAACTACAATTTGCATTAGCAAGTCACATACCTTGTTCTTAATTTTCCTTCTAACTTTCTTTAAAACTTTTTCTTCAGCCTGGGATGTTAAAAAAAAAACAGAAAGGTAAAGCTATACAATGCATATGAATTCACAAAAAGAAGTGGATGACGTTTCATTAATGTCTTGTAAAATTGTAACAATTGCTGTGAAAATAAAAGCCCATTTTGTTTTAAAATTCCTTTACCTTTGTCAGTGGCATATCTGTGGGTAATGTGACCCCTTCTAATTCCAACAATCTCAGCTCCTCACTTGTTAGCACAAGTGTCTTTGCCTAAATCAGCAAAAAAATAAGATGAAGTTATTACTAAGATGGAACGCTGCAAAATGTAAGTAGTACACTTAATTTACAACTATCTCGCCCATGCTGCTATTAAGCAAATTATGGAGAAATCTGGCGGCCTGTTCCGGATAAGAGATACAGACCTGAGATAGAGTAGGGTACCTGAAAGAGGAGCAATGAAGCAGAGAGTGGGCAAGGAAAGGTGTTAAGCCATACATAGCAACCAGTGAAGTGTATTCTCTTGAAGGTGATAAAGAAGATTATGAAGGCAAGGTGTATGTGTCTTATATAGTCGATTGGGTGAGACCGCTGTAAATACTACCTCTAATGAGCAAATATTAATTTCATGTTCTCTGTATTGACAAATAATTTTACATATGACTCATGTTGCCCCACTGGTACATTGTACATTGTATGTAGTGATGGGGAGGTTATTTCATGAGAGTTAACCCATTCGCCCCTGAACCGCCCGTGCGGATCCAGGTCCTTTCTACCCATTGTGACATCATCAGTTTTAACGGTCAAGGACAACTTTCTTCGCTAACTTGTGCAGAGTGAAGAGATCTTTCAAACCATACCAGAATGAGCACAATTCAGTCAAGGACACCGGAGAAACGAGCAAAAAACCACGTGACATTGACCTGAAAATCTCCATGAAAATCTTGTTCCATTACCCACCTACCTTTCCTTTCACCTAATCCTAAGATCCTAAACGCTTTCCTAAAAACTCTTGCCACCAAAATCAAGCCTACTAAATGCCCAGCAAGAGAAAAAAAAAATGAGGCAAGAAAAGCGAAAAAAGAAGGGAGGAGAGAAAGCGAGTTTTAGCTCTTTATAGAACGACAGTGACCAGAAAACCACTCGACTAGCTTCAAAACGCGTTTTTCGGCAAAATCTCCAGGAGCGAATGGGTTAATGCATAATGTATTTTTGTTGAAAGAAACCTGGGTGAAACAATAGCAGGTCTAATAAACACATTTCACAGGTCAAGAGTACAGAACTGACTGAGCCAAACAGTGATTCCACAGCAGCTTGGATGGTGATTATTAGGCCTATGAGACACCTGCGTCTTGTTTATTTATCTGTAGCACAGTAACCTGAACTCTGACCTGCAGAATGTGATCATTTATATAGGTACAGTAAATGTACAGTGGAACTTCATAAAATCAACATGTGTGAGCTATGAAATCCTAGGGTCAATTTAATAAAACTTTTACACGTGTAATTTACAAGTGCAGCCATTGTTATAGAGTCTGAGAACTTCTAAATTACACGTATAAAAGTTTTATTAAATTGACCCCTGGTTGTTTTAATGAGGTGGTTGTACCAACAAGGTTTTCACCTACATAAAAAAAATGAGGACCAAGCCTCGGCCAAAATACTGTAGTTATGATATCAAGGTAGTCGTATACACCAAAAATTCCTCATGTAGAATTATCAGTGCATTCAAAGCAGGTTGTCAGGTATCAATGAAACATGAATCTCTTTCAAGTGGAACAAACTTCTCCTACACTTTGCCTCAGTAATGTTAGGAGTCTGGTAAGGAGAATCTGTTTCTTCATCCAGGCTTCAAATGGTTAATAAAAAAATGACTGCAGACAATAAACCAGTGTCCCTACACTTACCCTGTTAATAAGAGAGACAGTTGGTTGGCCTGCAGTTGTTGTTGTTGTTGTTGTTGCTGTTCTGGATGGCATGACTGTCACTGTACATGTAGTTGCAGATGTTACAGAAGTTGGCAGACAAGCTGTGGTGATTGTTGTCAACTCTGAATTGTCAGTAGTTCCTTCAAAGTCTGGTAAATCAATATCAACATTCCATCCTACAAAGACAACCAATAAAGGATCACTGAGCAAAGAGATAATAAAATGAATATTTCACTGGTACTAGGACTCAGATATTATGGTACAAGTTGGGTGGTATAGCATGATGCTGATGGAGGAAACTATAAGAAAAAAAATTAAAAGGAAAAATGGGAGGAATGGCTGGCATAGCTTTAAATAAACATTGATAATAATGATGTTTTTTACTGGACTTTAGGACACAGACTTTATGCAACTCCGCCAACCTCTTCTTCCCCATCAAACTTTCCTTCCTCCTCAACTGTCCCATCTTGATAATGTAGGTGCTCAGAAACAAGATGTTGGACAATTCAGCCTCAGTGAAAAATACATTATTTTCAATTTTTATCTTTTCTCAGAGTGGCATGAAGTACCACCATGAATATACTTTCTCTTGCAAGAGGCCAACTTTAAAACTATGTTGAAGCGAAAATATATAAAAATACACTATTGAAAATACCTCCAAGATCTATGGTGAAGTCCTCTGTGCTATGTGCAACACCAGGTGATCCTGTTGTTGAGCTGAGAATCTCACTCAATTCCACATCATCTAAAGCATCAGGGCTGGGTGTCATGTATGAATCTGATGAGGTGCTCTCACTACGTGGTGGAGACCCATCACCAAAGTTTGTGAATTCTTGTCCAAACAGAAGACTGAGGATGTCATCGTCATCACTGTTAGCAATGTTGCCCTTGAAAATGAGGAGAGTATCCTTTACTAAAGATTCAAAGTAGTGCCATATCTTTTTAAAGTGTATTTTAACATAAATTCCATTTTACTGCCATTTTATTTATGTACCTGATCACAGGTCATTTTACAGCGAGAACTGAGCAAAGCAAATTTATACAGATACTGCTAATAGTCACTTTTGATGTCTGACATTGCATTCTTGTGTTAACTTTTAAGTGGTCCCCTTTTTCTTGGAAGTTTGTCTTTTGTCCGTTTGTTTTTAGTGTTTGTAAAAATAGCTATCATGCATATGCTGCACAATTTGTCAATGTTGTGTACACATGAACATTACTATAATGCACAGATGCTGAATACACTGATCTGCTTCTGTACCCTGCGAGCAGAGGCCCTTCGATCTTCCTAGATAAGTCGTATCTAGGAAGATTGAAGGGCCTCTGCTCGTAGGGTACTGCATCTGTTACCACTCTAAGCAATTCCAAATCTCAAGGGTCATGAATCATGAAAATTATACCTAAAACTTTGGCTCACGTAGTGCAGCTGTAAAAAAATAAGCTCATAGTTGTCCAAAATGTGTCTACACCTCTGCAAAACGCTAGCTGATAAGCAAGAGTGTTAGTTGGTTTCAAGTCCTTGTGTTCTATTGCACGTAACATAAATGCACACAGCTTCATGGTCTACATGTAAAGCATATACGTGGAATAAATAAAGCTAACTGATAAAATTTACGGCTTACGATGTCTGCCGAAACCGACAAGAGGCCTTTGTTTGTTAAGTTAACTTACCTCACACCAAGTGCTTAGGAAATCTGTCGAGCTTGAAAGTAAATCTTCTTCGAGTAAAGTTTCATTCTTGGCGTACATATGATCCAAAGAAACGGTGGAGGGAGATGCACTGACCACCATTTTGTCTAATGACGAAGATCAAGTAGTTCAAAGCCTGCCAACACACACAGTTTATACGTGGAATAATACCGTGTTTTCCCTAGTTGTCAGATTCTAATTATAGAAACAAACGTTGTGTTTTAGAATCTTACATGCTGGAAACGGTGACGTGGCAAGCAGGTGGCCGCCATTTTGAATGACAAGAAGAAACTGGAGACGAAATTAATGCATACCGCTTCCATGCCTCGCGCGGCCAAATCCTCAAAATGACTCTGGAGCTGACAAAGAGGGAATTGCCAGAGGAAAAAATAAAACTAAATGAAAGGAAAACAAAAATGGTCAATAATAAGGTCGCTTAAAATACTGTTATTCTCAACTCCTTTGAAAGACAGCTTACAACAGGTTTTTTTTTCGGTGTCGTCTCTTGCCGCAGGTTCTCGTTACAAAGCTAGCTGTATTAATCAGTGTTTGCTTGGCTACCTAGATTTAAAAATTTCTTTGGATGGTATTGTCTAGTAACACGCTCCTTCGTCATTTAAAGTAGGAAGAGAGCAAGACAATTATTGCACACTGCATTTTCCGAATCGTAGCCGATAAAACCTTGCCGGCCGATTACATTCCTTTTTTTCACTTTTTTTTGTTCACTCTCCTCCGCAGAAGCCTTAAGGATCAAGGGGCTTTGGAGAGAGGCGGATAAAAATCGCGCGTTCTTCCCATCGTCTCCTCCGTGTAAATAGCCTGTTCCAGGCGTTTAGATAGTGGAGTGCAGCGCTAACGAAGAGAGCGAGAAAAAAATAAGGAGGAAAAGAGGGAGAGGGAGATTTGTTTTGGTTTGTGAGGTTTGTTTTCAAAAGGTCATTCCGTCAACTTTCCCTCGCTCTCACCCCTACTCCAGACTCGTACCCAGTCGCTTTTTAATTGTTTTTTGGGATGAGAGAAGATTGGGGATTAGGTTGAGGCGCGCGCGGGGTGTCATGGGAAGGGAAGAAGGGAAAATAGCGACGCTATTTGTCCTTCTTCCCTTCCCATGACACCCCGCGCGCGCCTCAACCTAATCCGCAATCTTCTCTCATCCCAAAAAACAATTAAATAGCGACTGGGTACGACTCTGCCCCTACTCTACCCCCTCGTTGTTTTTTTTTGTTCACGCCTCTTTGCCCTGTCCCCACGATCAAAACGCCTGGAACAGGCTACAGTGTAAACTTTTTTAAAAAAATTGTTTAGTTCGTGTTTTATATTTCTATGCAGAGAAGAGAGTTTTCATCATTATACTTTGAATAGTTTGTAGCCAATTTGATCCTTTACAACGGTCCTTCTATTTCGGCAAATTAGGCATAAAAACGACTTGCCCTGATATTCTGTATACAAAACAACCCTTCCAAGGCTATGAAGATATCTATCATACATAGTCGAGAAAATTGGTCACAAAACACCCATCCCCCGAGTCCACCACGTGACTAAAACAATTCGCAACTTTACATGTCAACATATAATAGAAAACCACATTTTATTTTCTTTCGCAAAAACTATCTTTCAAACTGTACAACTAAGTTAGTTCAGAAAACCTTTTTACACAGGGATGCAAAATACGATAAAAATACAGTCTACTTTGGGTACAAAACGTTCATAACAAATTCCTGCACCAAATTTATCTATTATATTTCTACTTCTCTAGCGTGTTTAACAACTGCATGCGTTACTTCTGGTAGCACACCGACAATAAACGATCGACTGACTACGTAAATTTACACCGTACGCAGTCCCTCAAGATTGTGGCCATTTTGAGGTCGGTGTCGTCTCGAACTGCATTATGGGATTGTTTAGGGGACCCGATCCCATTAGTTACTACGACATTGCGCGGGAAACTGGCTCTAATATCGTCCCCCAAAAGTATTCCCTACGTACGATTCGATACAACACCGAGCCAGTCTCATTGGCAACCTCAAAATGCGGGCTAATTACGAGCGAGCGAGCGAACGAACTCTTGCCTTGTCAGCTTTCACGTTTCATTAGCTGAACAGAGAGTGCTAGCATTCCAACCAGGGATCGTAGTACTAAGAGAGAATCCAATTCAAATAGCGTATTCTAAGAGCTTTCTAGAGTACAATTATGAAAATTCCATGACGCTTTTTCTACGTAAAATACTTTACTAAAGAAAAAGTTTACCATCCTTTTTCCACCGCATTTTTTGCCACATTCGTAAAGTAACATTATGAAATTTAAGGAGTTTCCTTTCAAGGGGTTTTTAGCACTCTGGAAAGAAAAATCAAGAACTTCTGAAGTTGTCCAGAAATTCCTGGAGTAGTACGAACCCTTGTCTACTGTCAGTTCTGCTTCCGTTGCTGCAGTGCAATTGGGAAAAATGAATTGATCTCACATTCAGAGGGAAAAAAGTGAGGATTCAGAACTGTCCTTAACATGCATATATCTACAGAATATCTAACAATTTCCGGACAATATTAATTTAATTTACGTAATAAATAAACCAAATACTCCAAAATATCTTCACTGTGTACAGGCAATACATTTCATTAACTGCTTTGTATGGAATGCCTTTTTTCCTAAAAATAAGGTTTCATTGAACTGAATCTCATTGAAGATTAGAGCGGTTTTCACTTGACTGTCGAAAGGGATTGGTTTTGGTTTTGGTTTTGGTTTTACTACGCCCTTTGGTTGGCTAATGTATTTACTTTGGTTTTGGTTTTACGACAGTCAAGTGAAAACCGCTCTAAGCGGTTTTTTTTTACAATAAAGCTAACTTGGTTCTACCCACTATTCATTGTCATTGTCATAAACCCCGCGGTGGAAGAAACTAATTAAATACGACAAGAAAATAAAAAAGATTAGGCACTCAAATATGTGAAAAATGATAATAAAATAAATTATAGTATCTATGTATCTCGGAAAGATACGCCGTGACATTTTATTCTAGTTTAGACACCAAGACATGCGCATGCTTAAAACAAACCTCCACTAAAAAAGTAATATATGTCACACGCTGTCATCTTTTATCCCGCTCACCCTCTACGCTTCGTTTTTCTTCATATCTTTTACTTTCATGGGTAGAACCAGACTTCGGAGAGGTAACTGAATTTCCATGACGCAAAGTGGAATCGCTATTCCGTTCGCGGTGCGAGTGGTGGTACCGACCTTCAGATAAATAATCCCGCGAGCTACCTCGGTGATAGTCGTCTCTCCGATCTCTCTTCTCGTAGGAACGCGAATGGTCGGAACTCCTCTCGTAGCCTCGCGAATGTTGGTCGTGTGACCGACCGTGATCCGATGATCTCTCGTGAGTTCGAGAAAAGTCCGAGTTGTGAAAAGAAGGCCGGTCGCGGTACGAGTCGTGGTATCTGTGACTGTAATCGGATCTGAAAAAAGAAGTTGTGCTAAAAGTTACCAAACAGAAGGTGAATTACTGTTTAAGTAAAGGCTGCTACCTTTTTTTTACTCGGGTTTCTAACAGGCTAGGATCTTGTGTGAAAGTTAAAGCATACATGTGAGTCACAAAGACGTGATGATCGTCATTAGGGAGCTTAAGCAACTACGACGACGACCACAACAACGACTTCAAATTAATGATCAAAACAACAGCTCTGCACGTGCATCACGCTTTTTAGTACATTTCTTTGACGTCAACTGCACGACTACGACGTGAAACCTCCTAATTTGCCGTTTTATGGAGGACGTGAACATACGACGACGAATTTTCCTTCCTGTTTTTGAACCCGAATAAAATCCTTAAGAATTCAACTCCAGGAAAAGTCGCCTGCATTTGACATATTGAGCGGGCTCAAATATACGCGAAAGAAAGAACTCAAATTCATTTTTTTTACCAACGTTTTCACTGCCGTCGTGGTCGTCCTTTCTTAAGGTCCCTATTTGCCGTGAGTCGCCGACAGGATTTGAAGTTACGACCCTATCAAAAAGACACCGGATTGGTGCTCTATCCACTGAACTAAGGAAAGGCGCGTGGACATCACGGCCATATACTGGATAATAGGCAATACCAGCCACACAAAACAATTCACTAGCGTAACAGGCAAGAGCAAACAGTTTGAACCTCTGGGTCTGAACTCGCAAACTTGCTCATGCAAAGCCTAACCCACTTTCCTTTCTTTTTGCTGTTAACAGAACTAAACGGTGTACACTACCTGGCCACAATTGTTCAAAAGGTAGATAGCGCTATCCAGCGGATAAATCGCTATCCAGTGGATAGTGCAATTGGTTTCCTTAACACTTATCCGCTAGATAGTAATTATCCGATGGATAGCGCTATCCAACGTATGAACAACCCGGGCCTGGAGGATAAAAACGTACCCATCACGTGACCTCTCCTTGGAGGATGTACCAGTCCTGTCCGAGTGACCGAACGATGAAGAGCGCCTGGGATCATAGCTGTCTCCGCTCCCAGATGGCCGTCCGCCGCTGTGAGAGCTCGAACCACTGTACGTACGGTCCATCCGGGGTATCTTACCACCAGGTCCCCCTCCGTCCGTAGGTCTCTTGAGGTCACCGGATCGTTGATGCCCATGATCACCTGGATGTTTTTTAGAATCTTGAGGAGGCCGCTGCATCTGAGTGGCGGGTTTGTGTTGGGCACGCTGTGAAAATATTATAAAATCTTTTGTCAGAATAAGAAGATATAACGAAGAGACAAAATTCTCTGTTACTCCGAGTTTCGTGCTCACGCACTCATCAGACAGTATTTAATGGAGAATAAACCTATCAAGTTATATAAATACACGCGTCTATTGATTACAAAAAGCAGGGCAGTGCGGTTCTAATTACAATTAGGTGTGAGGAAAAACTAATAGAGTGTTGTTTTTGAGTCAATTGTTCCTAAGGTAAAACTTGTTTTCGTGGCGGCACTTGGAAATCAGTTCTGATCTTTTATTTAGGATTCTGTCGGGGTTTGCAGTAATGATCATTAGTTTCTCTGTTAAGCATAGGTCGCATCGTTTAGAAATGTTGTTGTAGGGTCTTGCACGGCTGATTATAGTCCATTTGATGTTGAAGTCTTGATTATTGTCACGTAGTTTCCAGATGTATTTGGAGAGTTCGGTGCTGTTCGTGTATTTCCTGTGTTTAAATGTCGCTTTGTGTTGTGTTGTCAACGAGAGGCAATTAAAATATGGTCATGTTTGCGAGATTAATGATGGGCCAAAATCTGACTTTCAAAACGAGGCTAAGTGCAAAATCTTTCTTGTAAAAATGAGATTTATTTGTATGAGAATAAAGAAAAAAATTCATATCAAAGGATTTGCATGTAGCATCCCTTTGAAAAAGAGAATTGAGGCGACTGGGAAATGGCCTATTGTCAAAAGTTCTAAGCCACATGATTACAAAAAATTTATTATGGCAAATGTTTCCAGGAGCTATATGCTGTCCAAACATTGGCTAGCCTCCCCGCAGACGTCCTTTGGGGTTCGTTCGTCACGCATTCATTTCTCCCCCTCTCAGCTCCGTGGGGGAGAAATGAATACGTGACGGACGAACCCCAAAGGACGTCTGCGGAAAGGCTATACACATTGGCAAGTGTGCAAATGTTAAAATAGAGAGTACAGCTGCTTTCCCTTGATTATAAACTAAATTCGCCATGGGATTCCATCACAAAACCGTCGGGAAAAGGGCTTTCCATGACTCTTACAGAGATTAAAAAACAAATGAAACAATCAAAGCAGCAAGCTGACCCTCATCCAACACGTAAAACAAACTCCAGAAAGTTAGGAGATAAACAGTACCTCCTGGGCTTTTGTCTCTTCTCTCTTCTTAGCAGCGTGCTTGTACAGCTTGAAGAGCTTTTTAGCTTCGAATGAAGTGAACTTTGACACGAACGTCCAAAGATTACTGCATATAAAAGAATAAAAACTCATTAAAAAGAAATTAACAGTAACAGGAATACAAGCTCTAAGCACCGTCGGGTGAAACCTACGGCAACAGACGGCAGTGTACTCATTAGGATCTCAGCTTTGGCAATATTTCAACAATCAGAAGTGATTATTTCTGGCCCGATTTTCGCAAATAAAAACACATCTTTTCAATCACACCGAAACCATCCAGAATTAAAGAACATTCTTACTTTCTCCAAAGGGCTTTGGTGTCGTCGTCTTTGTGATGAGATGTAGCGTCCATGATATGATCTCCAATCTTTAGTAAACACTGAAATCACAAACGGCAAACGCTATAAGCTGGAAGAGTGAATAAGTGGTCTTGTTTTCGCTATTTTTTTTTTTTTTTTTTTTGGTTTCGCGGGCGGGAAAGATGAAGCGAACCTATGCTCTGATTGGCTTCTTGAGCGGGCATGATCGCCTATCAATTTGTTTCCCACGTTCTTCCCGCGACTTTTCCTTTGACCTAATAATTCGACACTTTAGAAACGTGAAGATAACTGAAGCCAAAATGCGTTCCGCAAATTATTTCTGGCCATGGGATCGTTAGTGGGGACGCACCGGTCAGCTATTGACTAATCTCGTTTCTAAAGTTGCAAATGAGTACTCTATCGGCTAAGCTCAATATTCAGTCGAGGTGACCGGATATTGGCCTAGTTTTTTTGCGTTTGTGTACACATCGGCCTTCTCTCTCTCTCTACAAAAACTCAAAAAAAGATATTGGCCTATATCAGGCGTGTGGTCAGTAACGCATATGTTCGGTGTTATAGAAGCGAAAAGGGGAGCGGAGGAGGGGAGATAAGAGGTTCTTAATTTCGGATACACTCCCCCGCAGGAGAATAAAGGTACAACCCTATTGCTTGTTTTCAGTCTCACGTCACTCAAAATAGATGGAAATAAAAATCAAAACCGTTCAACAAATTAAATCCAGAATCTGGAAAATGAAAGGAGGTAAATATGCAATTCAGGTCAGAGCAATATTTCATATACTAGATATCCGGAGGAACGTTTTACCCAAATTTATAGAGATTTGCATGAAGACTGCATGATGGTGTCCATTCGGATGGGCACCAACATGGCGTACGGAAACCAACAGAAACATCTGTCACCGAGTTTTGCTACAAAAGCGAGAATTCATCCCTCCAGAAACTCATAAACATTAAAGTTACACTTTTTCTAATACATAAACTGTTCAGATAGCAAAATTGGCCTACACAAGTCAATTTTTTAACCTACATGACGGCTCTCTCCGTCGTCATGTAAATGCCGCGTCACGCAAAAGCTTAGAAATTCGAGCGCACTCTATCACAAAACCAAGAACCCTTTCGAAGCACAAATTTGTGTGAGTATTAGTTTTCAGCTGCTCTGATACATCAAGAAAGTAAAATCTCTGAAGGATCGATAGTTTTGTAGTTTGAATTTTAGTAACGTCATCTGAATCATGTACCTGTCTCGTTTGTTGTACTTGATCTTCTTCTTTTGTGTTTCCTTCTGGACTCTCCAGCATTTTTAGCGCTCGTTTCACTGGACGCATCTTCTCCTTGCACTACAACGTGAAAAAATAATAAATGATTTGATTTTTTAGCACCAAAATCCTTAAAATCCTATGGAGCTTCAGAACATAGATAGTAGTACACTTAACTTGACTAAAATTTATACAAATATTTTGAGGAAAGATTGTTACTGTCATAAAGAACTAAAGTTGACCGGACAATATCTATTTCCCTATCCCTTTTTCCCTACATTTCGGGAGTATAGCCCCCGTCTACCGACAAATTTTGTCATAAATTTTAGCTGCCATTTTTTTTGACATGTGTACATGGGAAAATGTGCCCACTCTTAGTAACTCCGTGAGATATACAGAGTTGAAAGTCCCCCCTCCGAAAACCCCTCGCTGCTAATCAATCGCGTTTGTACATCATGTGTGCGGCTACCACCTGACCATATGAAAACATAAAACGAGAAAAAAAAGCCTCGGGTCGTACCTCATCAAATGTTGCTTTGTCCATATCTGCCAGCGCATACGAACCTTGGGGTTTACCAGCCTCCTCTGCTGTTTTCAAAGGTGACGCTGGTTCTTCATGATCTACAGCAACTTCTTTTACATCCTGCTTCTTGTCTTTAGGTACTTCCTTCTTCTCCTTCTTTTGACGTTTTGGCTGAAAAAGAAGACAAAGCAGATTTTCTTTTTGATCCAATGCGTATCAAGTTTTAGAAATTTCTCTTGGACAGAACAAGCGAACAAACAGAAAGCAGCGTTTAGAAGCTAAAACACACATTGACTAAACCAAAGCTACACTGGCGCGTTTGTTTGCCAAATGCGCCTGTTAAATAAATTATCGAGAAGTTGCTGAATATCATGTGCAGCTCGTGTCAAAAACAAAGGGCAGTGGGCTCTTTCTGAATTTCAGAATTAAAGAATGTTTGGTACTTTTTTTGGTACTCCGTCACAAGCTTAGTGTCCGAGCAAAGTCCTTTGAAGTCCGACGAGTCACTACCCTTAACGAAGACTGATAGGCCAATCGCTTCATTATCCGATGCAACAAAATAATCCGGTGTTGCGTTGGAAAAAAGAGGTGCACACTAACATTAAAGGGAAACCTACACAGGGCGATTGGCAACGACGATTTTCAGCGCAACACAGCCTTAAATATTGTTGCAACATTGTTTCGAACTGTTACAACATTGTTCCAAAAGAGCCGCAACAAAAATCGTCTTTGTTCATCTCTTGTAACATCGCCATGACTTTTATTCAAAGAATCTAATCAAAGGGAATAATCGCAGCGCAGAAAGCTCCTTTCTAATCAGTTTTAACCATTTCTGCGTGGATTCAAGATAAAAAATTATCGAGGGGATACCCTCAAGGAGGATGGATTAGTGCAGATAAAGGTTAAAGATTTCTGAATAAATTAACTCACTTGAATCTAAAATAACAGCAAGTGAGATCGGAAATTATGCGTGTGTTTAACAGCTATGCAGTATCAGGTTCACAAGGTTGTGTAGGGAAAGAAAACAAGCTAGCTTTCCTCCATTAGCAGGCATATTATTTTTTTGTTTCTGCTCTATTTTTAATTATATATAATCTTTGGCAAGAACAGACTTAAGATACAAGTAATAAAATAAATAAAGAAAACTGACCTTTTCTCCTTCAACTTTGCCGTTTTCTTTCTTCTTGGTCATTTTTCTTTTCTTTTTCCCTTCTGGTGGCACTTGCCCCTCCTGATTTACATCAGCAGTGACTCCATCGTCTTTAGTTTCTGCTGAATGGTCAGGGGGGGACACCACCCCCATTGGAGAGGGAGCGGCACTGTTATTAAGTGATTCCACATCGGAGTGTGACTTTCCTTTTTTCGTTTCTTTTCTTTTCAGTTGGCGTATTTTTGATTTGATCATTTGTGATGACTGAGGAAAAAAAAAATAATCGGTTGGGATGGTTTTGCCATTAACGTATGGCTGCTCCGCCGCCAAAATTTCTCCCGAATTCGCACTGGTGAGCCTGCTCGCAGGCTATTGGCACAGTTGGTCATCCAGTGTATTCGTCAATTGAACAATTTGGCCAGGTCACTATAGAGAGGAGAAGTGTGACGTCATGTTACCATGGTTGCAAAAATTCTGGACCTCAAGAATTTTTCTTGACAGAGACGTCCATTTGCACTGTCCAACGATGGAAGAAAAGTATGGGCTATCGTTTTGTCCCTGAGTGCAATGCACAGGAAATTCATACGTGTCAATTTTTTCGTCTTTTTTTTTCTGTCATAGTTTGTTGAGATCCACGGAAATTTTGATACCATGGTTACGTGACGCATCTTTGTCTCCTCCCTATTAACAAAATTACGTCCTTTCTTTAAAGACCGATTAATTTTTCTTCAGAGTAAGTGGGATTCATGTAAAGTTGTCACACCGTCGTTTCTCACGCCTCGCGACATCGCTGCTGGCATCATGTGTTTTTGAAGCGAAAAAAGAGTGCTCGCTGTATAGTGAAGCGAGGCCATAGCCAACAGAAAGATATATTACCTTTCTTAGTTGTTCAGCCTTGTCTTCTAAAGCAGCTTGTTTCAACAGTTTGATAAGATATTCTACCCTGGTCTGAAGATGTTTGTCTTGCGGTTTCAAGTTTCCAGGAGGAAGGATCTAAAAAAAAAGAACAGTCTCAATACATCGCACCTTATTCTCGCGGAAAAACGCCTTTACTTCGGGAAGTATAAAACCGCCAATGTGTCTGCCCCTTCCTGAGATAAATTGCCATGGATATCTATATCACGTTTCTGAGTTTGTGTTCTGTTCTGTGATGTGTTGCCTTCAAACCGAACGGTCTCTCGATTTAGATGTTGTGTTCTTCTCGGAACTGTTAAGAAACCTCCGAAAAGCGCTCATCCCGCAGTAAATCTTTCGCTTCTTAAGTCTGCTTTTTGGTTAATTGTAAGACCCTTACCCTACACTTTCTAGCACACAAAACGTAAGCCAAATAACGTAGAAATCTGGAACTAATGCAAGTATGCAACGACCGTTTTCATGTCGACTGGAGAACAAGTCGACTCCGAGAAACCTATATCATAATGATACAGGCCCCGCCCCTTTACAACGCCACTATTCGAACTCAGTCTTCTCCTATTCCAAACTAATCTAAGTATACTTTTTATTCTGTTACCTTAGAAGTAAGTGACAAACTCTCATCAGCTTTAATAGCTTCCCAGCTGCCCAGTCCATACTCGAAGATGCCTACAAGTAACATGGAATCATCTGGCACGTCCCATGTTACACCCCAATGGACACTCTTAGCAGGTGCCATCAGGCGGAATCTGAAAGGAACACGATGTTAGAAAAAGGAATAAATAACTCTATTGCACAGTTAACTCTTTTCCCGGCGCACTCAAATTGGCTACTTCGAGGGCACGGGGTAAGTAACATAAGAGAGGTTCAAAGTCACGTTTACGGAAAAATGCAAACGTAAAATGCAAGTTGAGAATTTTTCAAATTGGAAAATGAACAGATAAAAGCTTGTCCAAAATAAATCTGATAGATGAACGTAACAAGAAACACCTTATTCCGTTTTAGAAATAATAAATAGCAAACGACAAGTAAACAGAAAACTTGGTCACGTGGCACAATTTCACGTTTGCCGTAAACGTGGTTCTAAAGCTCTCTACGTTAACTGTTTCCCTCCAACTCTGTGTACGCAATATGACATAATCTATGACAACAAGTCGTCCCCATGAATGTCAAATCTGTGAAAAATAACTCAGACGTTTTCCTACGGAACAGTATGAGAGAAGCGGCAATTAAGTCCTCTTCTGGTAGAGATATCCCTCAACAGTTTTCCTTGCTTGTAGTTTGTGCGTTCGTGTAATAGCCGTTAAATAAAATAAATATCTATTATCCAAGCTTGCACTCACTTTCTTCTCTCGTCAAAGTCTGCGGGCATGATAGCTACTAGTGATTCCAGTTCTTCCTCATGTTTTAACACTGATGGTGCGTTAACAGTTACATTGCTGAGTCGCACAGTAGCACCACGTTTTTTACCTGAATCAAAACAGGGTTCGAAATTAATTTTGACTGTTAATTGTCCCATTAGGCAACGGTAATTCAAGTTTTGGTTGCCTTCCTAAACTTTTGCTTGCTCTGTGGTAAAAGGCAATTGACTATCAAAATACATGTATTAAAGGAACTTATTGGTAGGGTATTGATAAACTGTGCTTATCGCCCTTTGGAACCCTTGTAGAACGAACTATTCTTCGCTGCATGTTCATTTCCTTCCAGAATGTACTGTAATTGTAGAACATCTTTCCGTCCGTCAAAGCAAATTGGACCCAAGGTAAATCATTATATTTCCCACTTCGGCAGAAAATTTCGTTCTCTAGATGTGCTTTGATACTTTTTGAAAACGCTACCAATCCAATCTTGTTACAGGAGATAGATTGGTCATTTTCGAGGAAACAACCATGGAGCTTTAACGATTCAAGCTAGCCGAGGGCAGTGGTGTGTCTAGGCTCTAAAACCCGCTCCCCATACATAAATGGTAACAAAGCCTGCTGCTATGACAAAACCACACTTCCCCTCCTCTGTTTATGAAGTGGAATGAAACAAACAAACAGATAAATAAACAACAACAATAAAAAAAGAAGATAGAAATGAAGTGCGCACCACCTCCAAACAGAAAACTTAAGAGATAACTTGCGTGGCTAGTTGTTGAATGAAAAATTAAGGAGCGATAAGCGAGGAACTGAGTTGACTTGAGTGCAAGCAAACTGCACGTAATGATAGAAAGTTAGACCACAGTTGTAGTAGAACTTACCATCAAAGTTGGGATCTTCCTTCAGTTTATCCTCGTATTCTGCCACAGCTTTGATACAGCTGTTGTGAAGAATATCTGCCAGTCTCGTAAGATCCTCACTCGATTTATCGTCTAATTCAGCATCAGTAGCAATTGATTCAAGTCTAAGTAGGGACACAAATTATGGGAAAATCCCTCAATCAAACTATGGAGATGTGTCACGTAGTTCAAACATTTGAGTGTGCGGATTATTGAAGTGTAAGTATTCAAAAGAAACTTGATGACTCGCCTCAACTTTCAAATGGTGGTACTCATTATGTGTGCTGCGTAAACAGCTTCTAGTTTTTAATCTGCAAATGAAATTTCATGGTTGCATGTCCATGCATATGAAACCTCTTCACCTGTTCTTTCACGTGATACTATATACAAAGACTAACAGGGTACTACTCATTACGCACAAGGCTCTAACGTCTGAACCCGTGGAGGATTTCCCATGATTTGACCATTCAAAAAACAACAACAAAAAACTTATTCAACAGTACTATCACATGTTTCGATTCATTATACAACGGGATCTAACTTTTGAGCCCATGGCCAAAATCTTATGGTGTGACCATGCAAAGTGAACCTCTTCTCCCTTATTTTACAAGGTACTATTTGATTTTTCACACTCACGAGAGTAAAAGGTTTAAGAAGGATTTAAACTGATGTCTCACCTAGAGCAAGTGATTTATATACAAGTGAAAACTAACAAATGAATAAACAAAAATCCAGTAGGCTGTTTTAAAATTACCTTGTTCTGGGCCTTCCAAACTTCTTGTAGCTTTTTACAAATCTAGAGGATGGAATCAAAGAAAAGTGAATATTTTTCTATCGAAACAAAAGAAATCTAATAGAGCACTAGAGCACTAGAGGGGAAAAATTAGACGTTTAGCAGCATGTAGCATGTTGTGAGCTAAAGGCACGACAGGACACTCTCTTCCTGTACGTTTTATCCTAAAGGAAAGGAAATTTTGTCAAAAGCCTTCGCTTTCTTCTCCCTTATAGTTCATTTTTTTTTATTTTTGGGAGAGGGCGGGGGGAGGGATGTTGTAGAGGCAGTTAAATGGACCCAGTCCCTACTTGTTGTTCACATCCTCACTACTAACAAAAGTTGTTTACTTGTATATTTTGAACGCACTTACAGTTGTAGGTCATAGGTTATTGAATGCCCCCCCCCCCCCCCCCCCCACCCTAAAAAAAGCAATAAACCAAAACCATTTAGTTCAAACCTTCTTATTTCAGCATCATTGAAGCCTTCAACATCTTCCCTCTTGATAGTCCGTGGCCTCCCTCGCTTCCTCTTTGTTTCTTTCCCTTCACCACCAGAATCGTCATCACTTTCGGATTCTGATTTCTTCTTCCGACCTCTTGCTTTCTTAGACCTTCCTTCCTGTTCACTGTCACTATTAGCGGGTTTGCCATAGTTCATCTGTTGATAAAATGTCAATAATATTTCTTATGCTATCTTACTCTTTAGATCCTTAGTTGTTAAGGGAGCCTTTTGTGTGGACTGGGCTGACTTAGTTTTCTGAGGGTCGCGTTTAACTTCATGAAGCTACCAGGAGACCAAGTGTTCTCTTGTAAATTACCTTCCTTTGGCAAATTTCTTCCTCATTCTCAGCCACATTAAAAAAGATAAACTGCAATCATTTACTCAAACTGCATGTTGAACAAAGTATGGTACAATAATAGCATGCACATACACAGGCTCAAATTTCCACGTCATTCACTCTAGTTCACAGGAATTAGAATACTATAACTCATGCTTTATAAAGAAAATTTTTGTATTCAGAGCAAAGATAGTTAAGCCAAATATTTCCATAGTATCTCAACGATACTTCAACATTTTGATCAAGAGGATTACCACTGTTGATAATGTCGAAATATTTTGGTTTAAACTATCTTTGCTCTGAGTTATAAAAATCTTTGCTTATAATAATATTGTAAACAAAACTTTTCCCAAAGCAGGAAAAGAATCTTTTCAAAAGGTAACTCTAGTTTATTTCTTTCTCATTATGTTTTTAGCTACAAGGGCAACCCTTAAATCAGTTCTCTATGATAAGGGTGGTTGGCATGTATAAATATTTTCTCTGTAAAACAAAGCCATTTATCCAAACTTAAAGGTTGTGGAGAGTAAAAAAAGGCCTTGTTCATTCAACAAATTCTCCTAATCAGTACTACACATGAAAAGTTGGAAGAACAGCCCCTCTTGATCTACGCTGGAAAAACAATATCCCCTGGATGGATTAACACTAAATAATTTATCTTTCACCCATATTAGTTCTTTTCCTGGACATTCAGTGATGTTGAAAGTTTATCCTTAACTTTCCACGCTCAAATTACATCACAGCAGATATAGGTAATACCTTTTTAACAGTTTTTCTGTTTCGTTTTGGCAAATACAATTCCAGTTGTTTTTTCTGTTCTTCTTCTTCCTCAAGTTTTCTCCTCTCTGATTCAGGAATTATGTCTGACCAAGCTTTCTCTTCATTCAAAGGTTTGTTCTCTTGATTCACGACAGGTACTTCATCCTCATCTGCGTCCAAGGCAATACTAGCAACCTGTACAACAAAATGAATTCTCATTCTTTTTTCTTCAAAACAGCAGTAATCTCTCCAAAACAAAACTTTTTTTCTTTCCAGGCTGTAAAACTACAGCTACAGAAGTTGTGTATCAACAATCTCAGTTCTATTTAATACACAATTATTATTGGTTGAGGTTTTTGTGATATCCAGAATAATCAAGGTCGAGGTAAGAGTTATCAACCAAAGTCAGAGCTCAAGGCTGATTATTCCATAGATCACAAAACCCAAATCTAATAATGGTTTTATTCCACACCTGTTGTTTTGAATAACAACAAACACACCGTCCTAGGAAACACCGTTTGACATTGCTCTTGGAAATCATGCACTGCGCCTACAGATTGGTTGTGCCATTTTCAAAAATATAACTTTAGACAAGTGTAGGCTCTTAGCCAATGAGAAGACAGATAGTGAGTAAAATGTTTAATAAAAATTTTTATGGCGTAACTTTAATTTACCTTGAACTGAGATAAAAGTTCTTCACCAATGGTGTGTGGATGATCGTCAGAATCTCTGGTTTCAGCAGCTCGCAAAATGTCATCGATATCCATTTCCTGGAAATTAGACAATGTAAACTATAAGTAACAACACTAGAATTATGGCCTAAATTTATGACAGAGATGGAATCATCCATCTAAAACTGATGATCACTTGTCTATGATGGATAATATGTGACAAGATGTAAATGCAGTGTTTTGATGAGTTGCACACCAAATTTTGTCTTCCACTTATTATGTTCTCTTCCAGCCATCAATCTACAGATAATTCATTTGAAACTGAGACTAACATTTTACCTGAACAGAAAATGAAAGCAGATTATAATAATAATAATAATAATAACTTTATTAATCTCCTCAAAAAGGCTTTTCAGCTTAATTTACAATGTCAAATATCTAAAACTTAGTTTTCCAAAAATACCCTTAAAAAATGCTGTTTTATTTTAACCTTAAATACATCTAAATTAGTGATAAACTGAAACTCGTCTGGGAGACTATTCCACAGCCTTTGGTCTCTGAAGGTAAATGCGCGCTGACCTGCAGCAGTCCTACAGAGTGGTATATGTAGGCGGTCCCTATTCCTAGTGTTGCAGTTGTGCACTTCCGATCTGATTCATGCAAATTGTTGACTTGCAAAGGGCTGGTAATTTTTTCTCAGAAGGTTCCCGAAGAGAGATTCCAGAGAAATCTGATTTATATTGTTCCATTTTTTGCCTTCCTCCTCTTCACCAATCCCAGCTAATAACCAATCGGTGCCTTGGCCCTTCTGTGACATCCATGTTCCACTGTTAAAAAAATTGTCACACCTAAACTGAAATCATTTCCGTAGAAAGTTAAATAATGCACACCTGCAGCTGAGTGTCTTCTCCATCTCCTTCTTTAAACAGCTCTTCTGCTCCAAATTTCAAGATAGCTGCAAGTTCATCTTTGTTGAAAGGATTACTCCTGTGAAATACAATGTTATAGTTTGTTATTGAGACACCCAGTTGAGAGGATTAGTGGGACAAATAAAAGTGATATGTGGAAAATCAGCAAAAAATTGAAAATAGAGCAATGGGCCTTAAGGGGCTCAACCTTCTAGAGGTGTCTATAATTGAAAAATGAGTTGTCTGTATATGACTAAAATAAACAATACTACAAAACAATAAAATAAGTTCCTATTATTATAATTATACTTACGATGAAGATGAGGAGGCCTTGGACAGCACCTTACGACCAGTTGTATCCATTCTCTGGATGATGAGATGATCCAGAACCATCTTGCGCTTTGCACGTTCTAGAATGTCCTCTTCAATGCTTCCTTTAGAGACAAATCTATAAATATTGACCTACAAAAAATAACCAGAAACCTCCTTCATTGATTACAGTAATGGAGAATTTCATAATTTTACATCAAGGTACTGTTCTTATGCATTGGGATTCTTCAGAAACAGCTCTGTCCTCATTTCTCACCAACCAGTCAATACACCACAGGGTGCAAAGAAAGTCAGTTTTAAAGCTTGCCCTTTAAGCAAGCAGTAGCTAGCCAGAAAAAATTCTGACGAGCAGGATTAATAAATTAATTAGTTAAATACATCATTGCCGAATTAATAACTTGTTTTACTGTTTTATTGTAATAATATCAATATCTGATCAAGTTAAATTAATATTACAATTTATATTACAATTATTGTAATAATAATTTCACTTGATCAGATCAGCTTGAAAACCATAATGTGAGAGAAAAGTGATAGAAGTACTTTTCATAATATGTGTGAATACTAAATTATGTTACTGATTTCTGCAGTCAATTAACTCATGGTGGTGTTTTTTAAGAAGATGGGCTACTCAGTTTATGATAGTGCTTCAGTTCATGAAATCACTAACAATCTAACAGGCCATGATATAGAAAACATACAAGTGAGCTTCAACGACTAATTACATTTCCTACATATAAGTCACACTAATAAGCAACAAAGGCAGTTATGCGTTACATGATGAGTTATCCAACCAACCTGATTTCTTTGTCCAATTCTGTGAGCGCGTGCCTGAGCTTGCAAGTCATTCTGGGGATTCCAGTCTGAGTCAAAAATGATCACAGTATCAGCTGTAGCGAGATTGATACCCAGGCCACCAGCACGAGTAGACAACAGGAAACAGAAGTCCTTGAATTAGAAAATAATGAAACCAATATCAGCACAATACTTTGGCCCATTATCATCAGTAATGTTGCAAACTTGGTTGCTCTTTCTAACCTCAGTAACTCATATTTTAACTTTGTATTATTATTATTAATATCATCATCATCATCATCATCATTATATTGTGGAATCTCAGGCTTACAAGGTTAACATTATACACTTAATTTCAGATCCTGAGGGAAACAGTTAGCTTTGTTTTCCCAAGAGTCCTCATGTTTCCAAAGACAAAGTCTTGGTGACAGCCTCGGGTTTATGCTCATACCATCATTTCTTCACCTCAATACCAAATCCTTTGAAGATATGTGTTGTTATTATCATCATCATCATCATCATCATTATTATTATTATTATTATTATTATTATTATCATCATCATTGTTATTATTAGACATTTTCACCAACAGTCAAAACTGAGAAATAACAGAATAATAGCTCAGCTTTACCTCAGAGCCTTCAGCATTAAAGTGGTCCAAAGCTTGCTTCCTCAAATCTCCTCTTATAGATCCATCCAACCTCTAGATTATAAATAAAAATCAATTGATTGTATCTTTAAAGGTGGTGAGGTGACTGCATGGGACAAAACAAAAAGCCTATAAAAAGCCCATAACACATACTTGAAAGAGGAATCGACGCAGCTGAAGATACTCTGCTAATATGTCAAGCATTCGCACCATCTGTGAGAAGATTAGAACCCGATGACCAGTTTCCTTTAATCTGCATAGTAGTTTATCAAGCAGGAACAGTTTCCCACTTCCTCGGATCAGGGTCTGTTGGAAAAGGATAACAAGAAGATCACACCAAGGATATGAGAGTGCCTGGGCTATAGTTTTTCGGTCACCTGCACTGACCAGTCATACTTAGTAACAATATCTACAAAGACAAAGATGTTTATTCAGTTAGTGACAGAGGCGGCTCAGAAGAAAACATCCAAGTACTCCCAACCAGGGCTGTCAAGACTGGAAATAATAACGTTGCACGGTTTGAACATTTCACAGATCTAAACCTGTTTAAATATGCGGTCAATGTCATTCATCATCATTATTCGATGGTACTTATATTTTTTGTTAGCAGTTATGGTAGAAGGAGATGAAAGTAGCCGGCTAAAGATGGCTAACTAGCCAGCAGTTTTGGCTGGCTATCAGTTATTGACAGCCCTGCTCCCAACATGAGTCGAACCTACAACCTTCTGGTTACTAGTCCAGATGCTCTACCACTGAGCTACAGGAGACTCATGGGACCTAAGGCCACTAAACCAGGCAATAATAATCATGCAAACCAGCAATGATCATTACCTTGGTATACTGTCATTTTTATTTCATACTTAATGTGATTCTCTTTAAACACCATGTGACAACTAGCTGATTTAATAAGTAGTGTACCTGTAGTGGGTCTGTAGTTAATTGGTAATTGTCGAGTCTAATGAGCTGGGCGTGGTTACAGCATTTCTTCAGTTCCATCACAATGTTCAAAAAGCTGTTAAGGTTTCCTTTTAACCCTTTGTTTAATGCCGCAAAGTTTTTTGTAAGGATCCATCTACAAAAATAAGAATAAACTCAAACTTTGACTTATTCAAGGCCGCCTTCTTATTAGAAAAATTGTACTGAGCCCAAAGCTCCAAACCTATGAAACAAAGGGTCCCCGGCATACAAGTCATGTGCAAACGCTAGGATTTCCTTGACATCCTGAGGTAAAAGTAGGTTGCCAGTTACCGGGGGTCACAACATAGCGCCATGGCAGCTGAGCCCAGTAAGAAGTACAAGGGTTGATCTGGGGTTAATTGGGGAAGTTGTCACATAAGAGACAAAGATGAAGATCTGACGGGTTTTTGGTGGTAAAGAAGAAGGAAGTGTATCTGGGATGAGAAAGGGGATGCATGGGCACTTAGTGCAGGCACTACAGACAGAAGCTTAGTCTGAAATAATGATAACTTGGACTCTCTGAAGAGACGTTGTCTTACCTATAGTACTGTTTCTGAATTGATGACATTTCCACTCTAAGAATTTGTTCCACCTACATGTAATGAAAAACCATGAGTTAGCAGACTATATTACTGTATTACTTGTATTTTTATAGATGTGTATAATAAAATACTGGTATACCCTTGAGATGCATGTTGTATAATTAATGCTGGTGTAAAATAAAAAATATAATGAGTTATGTACGTAGTAATTTTATTCCCTTAAAAACTACAATAATAATAATAATTATTGTTATTGCAAAAACCAACAGCCCATCTTGTCCATTTGATAAAAGCAGATGATCCTTAACTCAGGAAAGAATTCATTTTCTCATTGAACAGGAAACAACATAATTATTGACAACATTAATTATTGGCAACTGAAAGTGAACACGATCTTTCCCTGCAGAAAAACATGGTTTACCTTAGCTGGTAAAGACTTCTCAACATCTTTCTTAACTCTTCTAAGAAGAAAAGGCTCAAGTTCTTTATGAAGAGTAGAAAACCCCTTATCTTTTTGCTCTTGAGTAGCATGCTGCCTATCAAACTCATCCCAAGAGTAGAACCTATACACAAATAAGAACTAATTAATAATCAGAATAACAACTTATCACTGGACAGCTCATAGGGCTGTGCTTTAGCAACACTAGGAGGCCCCTGGCACCCAATTACTTTTGTTCTTGGCAACTAGGAAATCTCCTTTTTTCCATAGAAATCATTTGTTGGGGATTGATTTCACGTGTTTAAAGTATTGGGCTTCCTAGAATTTTCTTAGAGGACAGCCATTAGCTCATTTATGTTTGTAGTTTTCCTGCAAGAGAAACTGTGACTGTCATAATGAGGTAGCAGGAGTGTATGTACATGTAGCTCCCTTTAAGCCATTAAGCCCGAGCTTTTAACAGGAAGTTGAAATAAAAATAAATGCAGCTTATGACCTGTGTGTACAACAATATAAATTCTATATAACATTTACTTCTCAATGGAACCAAAAAATGGGAAATTCTAAAACCAAAACTTTACGAGTAAGTCTTCTTGCATCTCAGAAAAAAAATCATTATTGCAGAATAAGAAAAAAAAAAGAAAAACTGATTAAAAAATAAATCAAGAAACTAGATAGTCCTAGCAAGAATCTGCAACGAGTACAGAGGTGTAGCTATAGGCTGGCACATTTAAACTATTGTACATGAAGTTGTGTCTACAGAATCTGGAAGGTCTGTTCTTTTAAAGACAGATCAAATCAGTCATACAGGAAAATTTACATCACTGCATATTTTAATTATTTTTTTGATATTTTGATAACAAAACACAACTGAAATTCTATACCTTTCAGGCATGATAAAATGCAGTAAAGCCCAGAGTTCTTTCAGGGAGTTCTGCAGAGGTGTGCCTGTTATTAAAACTCTATGATTTGTGTTGAAATCCATGAGAGCTTTATAAAGAAGGGAGTCATCATTTTTCAGCCTATGAGCTTCATCAACCACGAGACAGCACCAGTTGATAGTTCCCAAGGTTGCCTGTAAATTTTAAAAAAGTCACAATCAATATTCATCTTTGAAAGAAAAAAGAAAATGGCTTGATATGACCATGAACTCTGGAGAAACCTGACTACCAAGGTTTAAATTATGACTACCCATGAAATTTCTTATAGAATTATGTGGCCAATGCAATTTGGCACCAATGAAAAGTGCAAGTGGAAAAAGTGACTCTTGTTTTGCAGACTAGTTAGTAAATCGGAAGTCAGTTAGGGCTATTTTCCAGGAATCACATAATTATCAGCCCTATGTATCAGAACATGTCAGTGAACACTCACAGTCACAAATACACTACAGTAACCATTAAAAGCTGATATTCTGTACTTACCTTGTCTTTTAGTAAAATTTCATACGTTGTCAGAAGGGCATTGAATTTCAAAGACTTGGAGTTGGAACGGTACCACTCAAATTCACGAATCTGAAAAGATAAACATTTTTAGAATGAGTGACCATTACACATACATGTGTTGTATAACTAGTAAAATGGCTCGACTAGCTTCAAAATGTGTTTTTAGAATTCCCAAGAGAATTCCCAAGAGCAAATAGGTAAGTGCATGCCTACCTGTATCTATTGGCCATAGACAGCAATTTAATCAATAACTTAATCATAATAAAGCCAACAAAAAATGAAGTGTATGAGAAAGATCTTAATCACACAAGGTGATAATGTTTTGGGGGCACTCAGGAGAACATCAGATGGGTAGATCTTAATCTTCCTAGTCATCATAAAAGACAAGTGCGGATTTCGTTAAATTTGCCTTCTTTGTAAACGCCTTACCATTTGGTTTACAGTTTCTGTCTTCCATTTAAACACTTGACTGTGTGCCCTTTCTTGGTTTAATGAAGATTAACACTTGTCCAGTTAATAATTGTTTGGTTGGCAATAATGTTTAAAAGGTAAAGAAAGCTGACTGAATTCTAGTTTAATTTGTCATTTGTTTAACAGATATCTGTTAGTGAACAATGCCCTGTGTATAATATATCTATGGCGACATACACTGTACATAATATTCTAAGCAACCAACGAAGTAAATTAAGAACTAAAATCCCTCATACCTTGTTTCTGCTTGTTACATCTCCAAGATAAACCACTATATTCATTTCCTCACCCCACAATCCAAACTCCCTCTGCCACGCAGCCATTGTTGATAGCGGCACAACCAACAAAAAAGGTCCATACAGAGATTGTGCATTATATAAATAAGACAAAAAGGAAATAACTTGAATTGTTTTACCAAGGCCCATTTCATCTGCAAGAATAACTGAGTGTCCTCTGCACCAGGAATTAACAAGCCAATTCAGTCCATCCAATTGGTAGTCTCTTAACTTGAGTTCTGCACCACCAAGAAAAGATGGCTGCTTTTTGATTGGAACAAACTTTGGTCGTTGTCGATGAACTTTAGCACTTCTTGATGGAATTTTTTCAGACCGCTGTCGATTGAGATAAGCATCAATTTTTTGCTGATAAAATCTTGAAATAAGTCCTCCATCTTCCCAAGTGCTCTCACTGTATGGTAGGCCCTGCCACTTGCACAAGTAATCCACTTGGCTAACAGTGTTTCCTTCCAAATCCAAATTCTTGACCATGGTATGAGCTATGAGATGAAAAAAGAGGCAACTTTAGTTACAGGCAATTAGCCCAGTCACTCCTGAACTGCCTATAAACTATCTGTGCAGATCCATGCCCCTTGTATCAATGTACCGGGTAATGAGAGAAAATTATTCTTGAGTTTTTGGAAGAAATTCAGGTTAATTTTTCTTTTGTGTGTGGTTCTGGAAAGTATCCTACCTACTCCAATGATGGAGGGTCACCACAAATTCTGAGAGAGAGAGGAGAGGGAGGATGGTCCCAAAGGCCAAAAGTGAAATATTATAAGAACCTGAATTGGAATTTCCAAAGGGGTATAAAGAGCTGGGCGGGAGGTCAAACCAAAAAGATGGATATTTCCTTTACTAAAATATGTCCCAACAAATTGGGTAAATGCAAAATAAGATCAACCTAAGAGAGGTTTTGTGAGCCTGCGAGACTGAGCAAACCCCACAAATCCTTGTTTTCGCTAAAACCACTAGACACAAAACCTCCCCTAGGTCAATGTTACATTGCCACCACCAAGAAATGGTTGGAAACATGGAGAGTAAGAAACTAAGGTATTTACCTATAATCCTCTCAACGTCTTTATATTCATCATAGAGATCATAGTTCATTTGTAACTGGATGTTGAAATATTCAATGTCTTCTGGAAGAGCAAACTTCTTCCTGATTGAAAGGGAGCAAACCAAAACCAGTGATTAATATAGACTACAAATTAAACATTTGACATTTTAGCAGTAACCTTGTCATAAAGATGTGTAAAATACAGTGAGACTGCCTTTCAGAACTGGTTGTTGTTCCAAATAATACCAAGGCTGTGCTCTTGCATTGCCCAGTGACCGGAGTCAAGCCTAATTTTTGCCCCTGGGTGATGAGAAAATAAGAGTTTTTTTGTAGAGATCACATGCTAAGCACCCTGGATTTCACAGGTTTAGAACACTGGGTTCCCTTCAATTTTTCCTTGGGCACAGCCTTGAATACTGTCTGATAGGTCTTGGATCACTGACCCAACTAATGAGACAAAGAAGGCTACTTCACCCTGGCACCAAATAAAATAATAATTCTAAACATCTAACACAGGAAAAGACAGAAATTTCAATCAATTATTATTATAATTCCTTTTTAGTTTTTATTTTAATTGACAATAGCATTTTGTTATTATAAATTTTTCTTCATTCCTAGAGTGTACAATGGAGGCTTGTAACAGGTTGCTAACTTTTGAGTCTATGGACAAAATTCTTCATTGTGACCATTCAGATGGAACCTTTTTACCAATAATGGAATAGCCATGGAAAGGTTAACTTTAACACTTACCATGTTGCTATATCTTCCTCCCTCTTCATCAAGTTGCTCAGCTTTTTCATTCCCTTTACATTTTGCTCAGTGAGACCTTTTTCTGTCTCCCATGTGTTATGGAGATGAGACCATCCCTTCCACTTGATCAGATATTGTACTTCAGTTGGTTCTCCAGGCAAAGGCTCACCATGCTTCATCATTTCTTCATAGTCTGGTGCATAGATCGTAGTAACAGCTCCCACTTCTCCTGGTCGACCAATGCGGCTATACAAAACCCTCTCAATACACTCTCTGTCATCTTCCACATACTCTCCAGCAGCGTCGTGATTTTGTTCTATGAGTTCATCTGAGTCTGTTGCATCTTCACTGTCCTCTTTATAACTGTGTTAAGATAAAAAGAGCAATCACGTACTCTGTGTCTAGAAGGTACGCACAAGACACTTTTTGTCAGTGTGTATGATGTATACATAGAAAGAACAAAATTAAAAAAAATATTGAGGACACTAGCTGTTTTACACCATGGCCATTTACACATGGTCATCCAAGCTACATAAAGGATATTAGCCATTTGCAGGGTAAAGGCAGCACCTTCTTCTTTAAGACACTGAGAATAATTCTCTGGGCCAAGGGATTGAACCCACTACCTTCCACTACCCAGACTATTCCTCTGCCAAAGTCAAGAGCCACAAACTTCACATTAATTTATCTTCCCCGTGCAGGCTGTAAATTGAATACTTAAAAACCTCAAAAACACTTGAAGATTGTACAAGGTGAAAGGTGATTCAGTCTTCCAATGCTTACCTACAGTAAGCTTGACATAGAACAAAGAAGATACATGTAAATAAACATCTACACTGTACCTTGAAATGTTGACTGCTGCCCTTCTAACAGAATTTCTACTGTTCTCATCATCCTCGTCATCATCCTCATCACTTTCGTCATCATCATCAGATTCTTCACTCTCCAACTTCTTCACCCTGCTAGGTGTTTTCTGTGGAGAGGGGGCTAGAGTTTTCTTGCGTGGGGCAGGATCCTTTTGTTTTGGTACAACTGGTGGTACTCTAGCATTTGGGCGTGGCACTGGCCGGGGTCTGTTCCGCACCTCATGTTCAGGGGTGTAATTATCACTGCTATCACTTTCACTTTCATGGCCATCTACTGCAGACCAGTCCTCACTAAATAAAAGTAGCATAATCAAAAATAAGAACCTTCACAGTAAGTTCTCATACAGCAGGGAACCAATTCTTGTTGTTTTACACTGGTGGGAGTGGTAGGGTCAAAGGGAAGTTGGAAGCAGGTGTGGCAGCAGGAATAAAGGGGGAGACCCAATAAATTTTTTCATAATTAATTTGATGGTAACCTTTTGCACTAGCTAGTTTTAGCCAGGAAATTCCAAGTAGTCATACATCTGAAGTCTCAAGCTAGCAGTTCATACACTGAGATGTACAAGTAAAAGAAGTCATTTTTTCCCAAAAATTGGGCATGCATCCAGTGGATACCTGGACACCACACTGGCAAAACCTTGTTCCTACCCGCCAAACTAGGTCCTTCTCCTTTTCCGGGCAAAACTACTTTGTATTCACAGAAATTCTCACACACAAACTCCTCTCTCGCAGTCACAAAGCTTTATTTACTGATGTATACAAACTATGACCACATTAACCTTGCTGATGAAATCCTCCTGGCCTGTCTTCCTTTGACAACCTTTTTCTTCTTCCTTTGTATTCCGCCGGCAGGCTTCTCACCATCTTCACTGTCTGATCCCTTAAAAAGAATTAAGTGATAACAGATTTGAAAGACTCTTTAGCTTCATGATCAACACTACATGCTTATATATAAGTTTAGCACCCTCTTCATGAAATTTGGAATTTTATAATTTGATTATTCATGGAACAAACAATTTGACAATTTTTTCTATAAGGGTTTGTTGTAATTATTATCTCTTGCACAACAGCAGGAATACACAATATTTTATTTTTACTCAAGTCTACAAATGGATGCTACAAAATTCCACTGTGTGGTTGAAAAAGCAATAATCACCAATTCAAAAATATTTAACTCCCCTGATATCATCATAATATTGCTCTGGAGCATTACCTCTTGTATTACATTAAATCTTTCTGGTTCCTTTCTTGACCTTCCAGATCGTCTAACACCATAAGTTTCAGGATCCTCTTCCCAAAACTACTTAAAAAACAGTTACATTGTAACAATCATTCAGTAACAAAACTTTTCATAATAATGTGTGAGATGTAATTACAAAGTATAACCCATGAGTGAGTCGATGAAATCCGGCGAAGTGACTTCTATAATTTTAATGAAACCTTTTGATTAGTTTGACAGTATATTTATAAAAACTAATGAGCGCTTTACTGAAACAATAACATCTTTCTGCAAAAGGGTTTTAGGTTTCGCACTCTGAAATAAGTTACTGTCTACACTGTAATATCAAAGAAGGATCTTTGGTGGTACAGAGAATTAAACAGACTTTTACATAAAAAAATCAGATTGCTTTAAAACCATATCTTTCTTCAAAACATAGGCACGTTTTACGTGCATGTGCATGAGCTATTTTGAATGCTTCAGTGAAAACAGCATTGGCAATCTACTGTTTTAATCCAAAATTATATCAACCTTATTGGCTCCTGCAACAGACATCTGAACATACAAAGCCACAAAGCCACAAAGATACATATGCTCAACACCACTGACATATAAGCTATTTTTTCAAACATATAACTCAAAAATAATTTTATTGATAAGATTTTATCGTTATTCTGCAGTGTTACTGAAGTATTCACTGTTTAAAAAAAACTTGTTTACGTGTTTGAATTTTGTGGCCACATTTCCTTACTGTTAAAATTATTTAGTTAATTCGCACAGTTGTGTCAAGCGGTCATCAGTCCTCGTATCTTTGCATCCGCTTTTGCTCCATGTCGTACCTAGCTATACACCACACATACACCTACCCTTTCATCAAATTTAGTTTTCTTTGTTGGCGTAGTTGGATTGTTATTGAAGCTGTGCTGTGGGTATCCTGGGGGAGATGACATCTGCATGGGTGGAGCTGGGTTGAAATGTGACAATCGCGGCACCTGATATCTCTGCTGCATCTGAACTGGTTGACCATTGTCATTGTCATCAGATTCGGAATCTGACTGACTGCTGCCGGAGCCTTCAGACCTAGACTCACTCTCCTGTCTATCAACAATGGTATTCAAAAAAAAGAAAAATTCAAGATCACAAAAATTTGTTTTTTTGGAGTGGTGGGTCTGAAATACAGGTCACTTTTCCACAGGTCATCATGATACAGATAAATGAATAGCATTAAAAGTGTCTCCTAGCCCTAATCTCTTAACAAAATGCTCTGTTAGATCAAGGGGAATCTGTGTGGTTTGGTAATTTATCGATGGAGCAGTGACCTGTACTTTAGGTCTTTACAGATTGAAAGACTCTGATTTCCCACCCTTTCATAATTTATATTGCAACGAGTGAAATCCCTACCCCTTCATACACCTGAGGCCTAAAAAGGTACCTCTGTTGAGTGGACCCTCCCTATATAATCCATTACAGGGAGTTAACACTCCACCGTACCCAGGGCAGTGGGACCAGATAATAGAATGGTGAAGTAAAGCTGTATCTGCATGCAGGAGGTTTTATTTTTCCAGGCTGTTCAACCATTTTGGCTGAGCTCATTGGCATTTTTAATACATAGAATTTTTCATAAGGTCTGAACGACTAGGGAGATTCCTTATTCACAATTTCAAGTATATATCCGAAAACCAACAGCAGTTTTGGCAAGAAAGAACATTTCAGGGAGATTTGTACTGGTTTTGACTTTTCAAATTTTGATGTTGACTAGCTGTTTGCTGGCCTTCCCTCGGGGACAAGGTCCGTGCCATTCTATCATGCAGATGTACATGTACCTCATCACACACTATCACCATCAGGTCAACACAGAGAAAAAACTCCTAAACGACATTAAATGTCCTTAAAACTGGGGCAGCACTCTTTCCCTAGAGGAGAGGAGAGCTCCCCTATAAAAATGACAGGGGTGCTTGACACACCTTTCAAGTGGGCAAAATTTGTGAACTGGTATAGTACAACGTACTTCTTTAGGGTGGCTAAGCATATATAAATCCAGGAACACATAACTTGCTCAATAGTCAAACTGCAAACCCTCTTTAAAGTCCCCAGGGAGCTTTATATTAATAATAGTTACGTCAAGCACATATGAGGGGAGCTTAATAGAGAGGGCAGCTTGTTTGAGACGGGGGGCTTATTTAATTTAGCTAAGTTTATGGTATAAATTATCCACAATGAACTACACGGAAACGTGAAAAAGCTCAGGCACAATGAATTTGGAGGCCATGCAGATTGGAGTATTCACAGTAATTTATTTAGAACAGTTTGTGTCCTTGAGGGCAGGGTGAGGGGTACACGTTGTTTTTTTGTATTTTGGCATCAGCAGCAAGAAAATGTCTTGCATGTCAAAAAACTTTTGACTCTATCCGGCTGTGTCCTATGCTTTTATTACACAATAATATAACGTGATTAGAGTGTAAGCTTCCACTTGCAGGAAATTAAACAGTTTGATTACAAAGATGCAACCTGAAGGTTCTGTAACTGTGTGACGCGATATACCAGTTTGGTTTCAAATAAAACTGTTGCAGCATAATCAGAGGGAAAAACACTGAAATCTTGTACAGAGTCAGACCAAAGAGAAAAAGTTAAACAGACTGATGATTTAATGGTTAGAAAGCTAATGGAAAAGAGAGCTTCAAGTGGTTCTATGTATGTACTGTCTGTCTGTCATTTACATCACTAAACAAAGACTGGAATGCCATGATGCAAGAAGTAAAATGTAAGGAAAAATCAAGAGGAGAGAGGAGAAATGAATACCGAAAATAATGATCTGCTACTCCCCCCTCCCCTCCCCCCCGACAAAAAACAACAACAATGACGACAGATGACAAAGCCGTTTGGCCCTGTACGGATTCTAGCCTAGGAACCAGAAAATCAAGGAGGCTCAACAGTTAGGGATATAGAATGGTGAATGGTTTCAAAATTCTAGACCGAGACTTAAGCGTTAATAACAATATTCCAAGCCCAAGACTTCACTTCTAAAAAATCCGAGCCTGAGACTCTTAGCGCAGAAATTTCCAGCTAATTGCAGGTACAAATACAGTCGAACCTTCACTAACGGCCACCTTTTTTCATCCTGGCGGACAAAAAAATCCATAGATTGAATCCTGTTTAGAACCTCTCTACAACGGCTACTTTCTCCTGTCCCCAAGGTGACTGTTGTAGAGAGGTTCAATTGTAAAGCTAAATAAAATGACTGAAAACACCAATGGAGTCTAGTGGAGGCCCACCAATATGCTGCTTTGTCTTGTTTTGCTATCTTAATCCACCAGCTTAGTTCAATAAGTTGTACCAGAGGGTAAAAAATGACAAATCCAAGCCTGTGAGACCATGCAGCCACCGAAGAAAAAATTTGAGACTGAGACTCAAAATCACCCAATAAACGAGACTTCAAAACCCACCAAATGTGCTTCTGAGATTTCAAAACTTTTCCAAGACCCAAGTTTTTCGAGGGACTGTTCTATACCCCTATAGTTGTCCCCGCATGTATGTGTAAATGGAATTGACAAAAAAGAAATAAGCACATTGATAAAAAAAGTCTCTGCTTTCAGTAATTCCTTTTGGAGAGAGGAAGACGGAAATTGTTCCTTCTTCTAGTGTTATAACTATGGATGTCTGAGTTTCTCAAAATAATAAATTTGTGATCTACAAGTCCGTGGATGTACTTAAAAGAGGTGATCTATCTATGTACAAGGCACTCTTGAAATAAGGTAGGCCATTCAAGTGTTTTAAGAGCGTCGGTGGATGAAGCATAGTTGGGCAAATCAAGGATAACTTTGGCAGCCTTATTTTGCAAGACCTGTAAATCATGCATTAATGTAATATTATCCCTGTCTCCCAAGATGGTATCAGCAAAGTCAAAGTGAGGTCTTATTAAAGCATTGTATAATGCGACTCGCGCATCCAAAGGCAATAGATGTTTGATACGATTTAACAAGCCAATTCTTTGATTCACTTTTGCAATCGATGATTCAATATGCTCATTCCAAGTCAGATTCTTTTGAATGACAACACCTAGATACTTGATTGAATCTTCTCACTCTCAAGGTTTTTGTGATCAATGACAAGCTTAATACCTTAGCAGGTTTGCAACCTTCCATCACCACCAAACAATTTTTCCACCTTACAACTTACAACGTTTTAAATAAAAATGCTAATTCTGATGTTCTTTGATTAAAAAAATCAAGGACTTATCGAGGACCAAAACCTGACACCTGTACTGCAATTAGCTTTTCAAGAGTTTTCAAGATGCATACAAACCCAACATTTTTGAGTTGAAGGTTCTGTAGGGGTGAAAGACTTTAATAGGACTTTTATGGCTGGTGACAATGAATAAAAAAATCATGGTAGCAAAGACACTGGCACTCTTGCAAAGAAAGAAGTTTTTCTGTGGGGTTGCAGCTTGAGTTGGACTTTCTTTGAGGAAGGTACATTCAGTCTAACAAGAACTTTTTGAGCATTTCCTCTCATATGCACCCCTCCTTGTACCTCACATGGTACCCTAACCCTCAGGTTTTATTGCCAGAGAACAAAGGAGCCAACAATCCTAATCTCCGCGCCCCAATTGTTCAAACTTTGGATAGTGCTAGCCACCGGATAATTAAATCACTATCCAGCAGGCCACGATTGTTCAAACGTTGGATAGTGCTATCCACATAGTAAGTACTGCTCACGTGTCGGGCAGCTTCATTTTGGCGGGAAAATGTGGTAACCATCGTCATTCTACTACGAGTTTTAGCGGGAGTGTCATAATGGTGGGAACAAGTTATCAAATATTAGAAGTTTTAGCATTTTGCGATCAGAAGAGTTCTTAACCTCCTTCAATAACAATAACAGGGCTACCTTTTCTGGTGAAAAAAAGTACAATGAAGAATTCCGGAGTGACTATTTTTTGACAATACGCAAAAAGATCTCTATTAATTTTGTAATCTGTTGACACTTGTTTTGACCTTTTATCACAAGAAACTTTGTAAAGCACAGCAAATGGAAAAAAGAGATATGTAATGATATGTATTGCTATGCAAAATTTGTTTCAAAATAAATGAAAAATTAGGAAAGAAGAGGAGCCAGAGGGGAGGTAGTAATAACTAAGCCATTTTTCAGGTATATTTGATCAAGCAATCCCCAGTACTCTAAAGCACAGTTTCTGTTGCCTTAATTATGATATCAAACAATGGTGCCATTTTCCAAAATTATGGGCCTGTTGTGCGATACAAAGGAAAACTACAGTGTATAATACCCTTACAGCCAGCAATAACAATACACTGGTATACTATTGTGGACATACAGTTTCTATGACTATTATTTCCAGGCCCCAGCATAAACCAAATTCTTCTACTTTCTACACTGACTTAGGACATTACTGAATGTCCATCACTGGAAACTGGGTCTTTGTTATCCACTACAAAACTAAAGAAAAACCCTGCGAGGGTTCCTATATTGAGAAGTTAAGTCCTTACACAAGAGCAGCACCCTGTTTTATGTTTTTGCTGTTTGAAGATGTTGCATAAAAATTTTGACAAAACTTCAGTTGCTACTGTAAGTTCTGAAATCAGGGACTCCCAAAGTGAAAACCACCCAAAAATGTCAAAAATTATATGTACGATAATTAATTTCACAAGTTCTGAACCTTTCAAAGTAAAGGTGGCCCTGATAAAAGAACCCTAAAGAACTGATTCTCTTCCTTTGTAAGGGTCAAAAAGTCAAAAAAATAAAATCAAAGAAACTAAAGCTCCAATGCGTACCAGGGTGAGATAAATGTAGATTTGTAAATGGAAGTAGAATGATTTTCAAATAATTATTGTTTTGTGAGAAAGTTACAATAGCGTAATCAAGACAACTGTACTTGGATCCTCAGTGTTCAATTCACAGGGATAAAATGGGATAAAATGAGCCATAAATACATTTTGTACTGGCCTTGTCTTATAGAAAGAGTTTGCAGTTTTGACTGCAGTAGAAAAATTAACTCTAAAAAGTGACAGTCCCCAAAGTAGCGAGCCCAAAGGTTTGCTTAATCTCTGAAACTAACAATTAAGTAAAGGGTTGTTCCTTTTACAACTCTACACTATGATACTCATGTGTTAAAATGAAAATGAGCAACCTAAATGGGTCAGAAATTTTAATTTCTAACAGCAGAATGTTCCAAAAAAGTCAAAACCACAGGGTCTCTGGATTTCTCTACATCCTCTAATGGATCTTCCGCTTCAGCTTTGACTTCTTCCTTACATATTTTTAAATTGAAAGGGTCCAGACTTTGGTGGTCTTACGGTAACATGCATGGCTTTAAGAATCAAAACTCAAAGCACCTTTTTGTGCATCCCAAACCTTCATACAGAAAGGTTTACTGGGCAGACTGAGAAAATTAATTAAGAAGGTAAACTCAGCCCAATACAAACCAAAAGGAAGACTTAACTTCTCAGTGCATGCAACACTTTTGTCATCAGATTAGAAATGATAATTTTAGAGTAGTTAGTAAATTCTGACCTTACTGCCTGTTATTGCTTTACTTTGCTCTTCTAAAAGTAAATGAAATCTTTAAAACATCTACAGTTTACTTTGTGTCCTTGTCCTTTTTCATTCACAATAAAAAAATAATCTTCAACACAACTGTCAGAATGTCCTGAATCACTCTAAAGCAAATTTTCTACCGTAGTAACATTTTAACATAAATGCCGGTCAGAGATTTTTTTAACAATGAAGCTAGTTTCAGAGGAATATTTTGACAAAAAATTATATGTATTAAATAAATTGGCGACGCTCTCTTTATAAATGTAGACCAAGGATGACAAGATCGAAGAGTTAAGTTAAGCTCAATAAGAGCAGTGACACCCACTCGTAATGGTTCCTTCCTCGATACATTCTTAACTTAAAATTTGATTTCAAGACCACCAAGCTCTACATAAATAAAAAACTTCATGACCACGTTATGTGTTCCACTCATCGATGACATTTAACTGATTCAGTGAAGAGACATTCCCCTCTCCTTCCATTCCCAGGGAATCACCCACAAGAAACGTACATCGAAATTTGTTGTAACCAACATCGCATGTCGATTTCAAAACAAGCAGAGCTTACAATACATCCATAACCACACCTGATTTTGCTGATATCTCACGGTAAAAAAAATAATTTTCAAAAATGGGAGAGGCAAAGCGAAACTCACATCAATAAAGAGATAACTACATTATTGATCCTGACAAGTGGTAGAACAGCAATCAATTTAAGGTTACCTGTGATTGAGGTCCAGCGAAGGGAGCCATGCATCGGACAAAACGAAGAAAAAAATCAACAGCTCGAAATTGACCGAGCTGATGCAAATAGGGCGCTGTCTCAACATGTATTTTCAAGCGAAAAAAGTCAAGTGAACTCTCAGTATTTCAATCATTGTCAAAGAATGGAATACAAAAGGAAAGAGAAAGAGAACTGGGCACATCTTCTAAATGGGAACAGAAATGTTTTTATCCAGAAAAGACCCTAAAAATTCGCTGCGCGACACGTCAACACTTCTATTCAAAGAGAAAGGAATAAAAAAAACGTGTTCGTCGTTTCAAACCACACTAAATTGTTTGATTTTTAGCCCCTATTTCACATGTGAGAACTGATTCTTCCTTCTACTAAAACTGATTATCAGTAGTCCAGTTACAGAACCTTGGTTGGAAGAACCACAAGCCGTTGCATGTTTTCGATCACGAAGACCAAAAAAAATATGGCGCCTGTGAGATGACAGATAATTTGCAACAAGAATTTACCTCGCTACGTGTTGTTGATCTGGGAAGGAAATGCCCGTAGATCCATGAAGGCTTCCAATATGGCCAAGAGAAATGGCTGATGGTGGAAAATGATTCGTAAAATGTTCTCCAAACATCACTGATCCCCTTCCTTCGTCTACACTTGAAAGGATATCGACCTCTTCGTCGCTTTCTGAATCATTATCCGCCATTTAAGCTTACGTGGCTGTGGGAATACGCGAAGGAAGCGCAGTCCAGTGAATTCCGTTCCAACAGACTCCGTTTCTTAGAGGCTGTGCCCATGTTTCAAAAGGGGTACTTATAGGGGGGTAGAAGTCTAAACGAACAAGAAAGCCTTCGAAAAATAGTATAAAATGGAAAACGGCCGTCTTTGAAAGGAGAGGAGTCACAAACCCTTCATGACTTCGACACGTGTTACAAGATGAGGGAAACTGCTGTCGAAGAAAGGCACTACGGTTCAAAAAGGGGGTTAAGGGGACCAGGAATACCCGTACAACGCCTTCGACTGTCGAAGAAGCGAAAATTCAATGTTTTTAATCTTCCGGGAAGAAAGCTAAAACTAGAAACGACAACAGATGTTTCTTTGGCCACACCGCGTGATCAAAGGACAATGGAAACAACACAACGATTTCAAGTAGATGAAAATCGATTTTACCTTCGAAAAAGTCGACGAAAAAGGTTCGAAGGGGAAGGAAAAGATGGCTACCGAGTCGCAGAAACGAAGATCCATCAAAAACGTAGGACAAAAATAGGGCAAATCCACGCGACTCAAGACCCTTTCTAGGACATCAGGACTCGACTTAAACAACACAAAAACTTGAAAGAGTAAAACATTTATGTAAAAACGCAATCAACAGCACAAAACCAACAATTTATCAAGAGCAAAACGCTTACTTTCTTCCCTCACTGACTCCATCTTGGTAAACTCGCCGCTCCCTGTTCGCTCCTCGTCTTTGTCTGTTGACGCATTGCATTCTGGGTTTCCAGTCATTTGCGCATGTCTTGCGGGTGGCTTTTGTTTTTTCCGCCAATCACGTGAAGTTCTTTATTCTTTGTTCCCACTTTTATTTCATTTGTCTATGCATTGTCATTATTTCATTGTTTTCCCATTGATGGATAATCATAAGAAAAAACGAGGTTTCCTGTGCTGCCTAAGTGGGTAGACTCCTCAGTCGTGGGTAGATCTTCTCTATTCATCTGCACCGGTGGGGTAGGGGGTGGGGTGCTTGGAATGTTCAATGTCATTACCTCTGTCTTCTTACTCGGCTGGCTGATCTTCAGGCCTATCTTCTAAGCGTCTATGATCAGGCGAGATGTCTTCTCCTGGACATGTTGGTAGTCATCAGCAAAGTCCAGGTCTTCAGATGCTGTTAAGAGAGTCCAACGCATACCTCTCGCCTGATCTTCCGTTTCGTCTTATCACCCAGTCAATAATTCATAATTCAGTCATAATAAGTCTTCTGATAATATGATAGACGAACCCAATAACTGTTTTATTATTCATTCAAGATAATTCCTAGTTTACTAATAAACACTGAGTATGCCTTCCTCGATCGATGTTTTAAAAATTCTCGTCTTATTTTCCTGTTTCGCGGCAAGTTCAGGAGATAAACGGGCAATTCAGTTCTGCAGGTATTCTCCAAATACCAGCAGATGTCGTCCGTTGAGTTGTATTATTGATGTTTTTGCTGGGTTTCTGCCAAGTAATTCAAACTAGTATGTGAACAAACCGCCATGTCGAAGTTAGGTATAACCTTGAGAATTCAATTCTCCATTTAGTTAACGGAGACTCAAAGACTCCAAAGTTGCTATCAGTAGGACAAAGCTGATTAAAACAATTTTTTCATTCAGACCTTTTGACTACAAGTATGCCATGCGGGTCATAAAAGATCCTATTAAAACTGGGCCGCGGAATTTTTAATTGGACCCGGCATTCTTAAATACGCCGTGTCTTAGGCGCCATGAGTTTTCTCACCACAAAATGGTCGAAAACAAGTTACCTTCGTAAAAACAGCGACAAATTAATGGTCTTTTTAAACTTCGATCGAAAAAAAACGTATTAAATTCTATCCTCCATGCACGAACGAAAAAAAAAAAACCTTAAAGTTATATTCAGCCAGTACTTCATCTGGAATATCCTACAATCACAATTTTGTAAATAATTATATTCGTGCACGAGTTCATTTATTTGAAATATGCAGAGATTGATTATTAACCACTCTAGCTAAAATCCTTTTTTGTGATGGACAAAAAACGTGCAAATACACTTGCTAAAAGTTGACCTCACGAGTTTCACAGCAAAAAGCGAGCGACCATTATAAAGTTAAGTAGGACAAAGAACTTTCTGGAACCGAACAGTCTGCCAGTAAAACTGCCGTAATCATATTTTAGAAGCTTCCAACAATTCTGAGAAACTTTCAACGAATCTTTCAGCTAATCATTTCAAATACTGTGGCTTAGATAGCTCTCTTCAGGATTACAGATATCACACCACTCAAGCCGATCATTGACCGATTATCCGCGTGTTGGGGTTTATAAAGAAAAGTATGACAGAAATGAGGTTCACATTTGTTGTTCATACTAAGACAGAAAAACTGTCTCCTAAATCATCCCATTTTCTTCAAGGATCTTCAAGGAGCTAATGATAAGTACACTAGTCTACAAAAATTTGTTTTCTGTGATTTGTATATTCAGTTTCCAATTTTCGCTTAGTGCCAAGTAATGAAAGTTAGGAACCCTTAACCCATTAAAGGCAGTTGGCATGTTATCCTGCAATAAGATTTTAATTTAGAGGTGACTGAAACAAGTATGTACTCAGCATAGATGCATACCAACGCAGTGCATATCCACCTCTGTTATATGTAATTTTCACACAAGGCAGCATCTTTCTTTGAACGTGTCTATTTCATCTGGCATCACACTTTGGTGACTTTGGGGTAAAAATGGCAGACCTCTTGAATGCACATGAGCATGATCGCAAAAAGCTGGTAAAGACCATAATTTAAACCCTATGATTTCATCCATTTTCAGCTCACTATTAGCGGATCCAACATTATTGAAGAATTCAGAGAGAAACAGAGGGCAACCCTGGGGCAACCTGTTTTGAAGACGGCTCCAGTAAAGCGCCGATCTTATACCGGGCCGGTGACTAAACTGTGCTAGAACTGAAGTGTGAACTATTCGTTTATCGGCGCGGAAAGGTGATCAAAAGGTTTATTGACTCTGCGAATATATTTTGCTAAGTCGGTTGGTGAAAAGAACCGATCGGAAGCTTTCCAAAACGCATTAAAGTGAAAGACGCCAAGAAAATTAAGGCCGGTGCGCCACAAATTACCTTGTTGAAACGGACACGCGAGCCCACAACAATTATTCATTGAGTCAAATTACCAAACACACTGGTGACTTGTTCAGCAGTATTGACAAAATGTTGATTGCGAACATTCCCAAAAGACCCGAAGTCTCACGTTCCTCTATGCTCACTCTTGATTTCTTCCAAAGGAATTTTCCCTCTGCCAAGAGCAGAAGAAATGTATATTTTAATCGGTGTGTTGTTTTGGGTGGCTCAAAAAGAAGATACTGCATGAGTAGATGAATGTGCAAAAAACAATTACGGTATTAGAAGTCATACATAACCTGGCACAACAGAAGTTGTTTTCACTTGCGCATCGTAATCTGAAAGTGTGTTTCCGAAGCGCGTTTTTCGTGCACGTGAAACATCGACTTTGGGAATTACTTATATGGGAGTTTTATAAGGCTTATATGTCCTCATATACGACAAACGAAACAAGGGGTCTTTCCTTACGGTGCGCAACTTGTGTCATTGAGTTGCATGTTGGAGTGATATTTTTCTTTGATATTCAATTTCTTCAATTACACGTGACTGTCTAATTTTTTGGTCAAAGAACCGGGAAAGCTAAGACTCTAAAGCTAAGACACCTCATCTTTTTATCGTCTTTTGCTTGATCGTCTGCACATGACAGAAGCCGAATTTTTATATTTCAACTTGAGGTTTTTCGGTTTGTTTAATCACTTAACAGGTCAGTTTTGATCTGGCTCATTGTTTGAAGTCTCTTCATCCTCTTGCCGCGTTTGATTCGTACAACACCAGTAAAGTAAATTCAGTTTGATAAAAGGAGTAAGCCTTGTTTCACTATTCACTATACAACAAATGTTCATAGCTAGCGTTGCCTTCAAATCAAGATCGAGTTTGTGTGTGTGTTTATCCTTTTTTTCTTCTTCTGACTGCCATACATATTTAGGAGATATACTTAATTCTGTTGGTGAAACGAAAGTAAAAAAAAGTGACAGAGGTAACGTTTACTATGCCAGCCTACGATATATCTCCTTCAGCGGGGGATTCTAAGTTGCTCTGTAATCAAAAACACACAGCGGAACCTTGGAACAACGAGAGGCTAAAGGTCGGACAGAACCTGTTCGCAATAACGAGGTTTCGTTATATGGGGTTCTTTTCCATACATTTTTATTATGTATTGGGGAAAAATACCGTTCGTGATACCGTGGACTTCGTTATATAGAGGTAGGCTTTTGTACATTATGCTAGCATTTTTTCGAGCATTTTAGTGAGGCAAAAGCTTTGAACATTATTCGAGCATTTTAGTGGCATTTTCCCCAGAAAATTAATTTTTTCGAGAAAATAAAATAGAAATTAACTTTTTTCGGGAGCCCATGCCCCACAAGCTCCTGCGTTTTTAAAGAAAGTGAAGACTAAAACTCAAAATTCACCAAAAAACGTAACACAGCTATTTTTTTTTGGTTGTATTTATGAACTTGTACACGTTGTCGTTGTTACTTGCAACACTTGCACGTTTTTGTAAGTGTAAACTTTGAAATTAATTTTAAAAAAAACCGTTTGTATAATGAGCATTTATCCGAGCATTTTAGTGACTTTTTTTGGGAGACCAAGCATTTTAGTGGGAAAAATGGAGCATTAAGGTGGAGCATTTTAGTGGGAAGCAAAAGCATAACGTACAAAAGCCTATATAGAGGTTCGTTAATGTAATGATAGGCCGGCACCTGCTTGAAATGTTCCTCGCACTCCATTTCACCAATCACACCCACTCTACCATTCTCGTCTTCAGAACTTTCTCCGTGTCTTTAGCTACAAATGGTCAATTCCCATACAGATGGGCCCTGCACCTGGTTTTTGAAACATCAGATAGCGCTATCGACCGGATAAACTACTATCCACCGGTTAAATTAGGAAACCAATTACGCTATCCACTGGATAGAGATTTATCTGGTGAATATAGCGCTAGCTTAATCCACCTTTAGAACAACTGGGCCCTCGAGTCGATAGTGTCAGTGTCGTTTCGTGTTAGTGGTTCGGTCCTCTCGCTCGCCCGGGAAAGGTTACAGAGCGACCAAGGAACTTTTGTTTCACAAGGGTACCTGAAATACCGTCCGGATGCGACACAATACCACATTATCATCATCATCATCATCGGGGGAGCTAGGATGGCGCTCCTTTGCTCCGAGAGGTTTTTCTCCGGGTACTCCGGTTTTTCCCTCTCCTTAAAAACCATGCAACACTTTCAAAATCCAATTCGATCTGGAACTCACGGACACGTTTCAACGAGTTCTTAAGAACTCCTAAGTGCTCCATGGGTAAACAAATTACAAAATTACAATCATCATCATCATGGTCGGCA